TTACTTCCTTTTTCTCTTTTGGTAAAGATTTAGAATGAGCTAAAAACAAAAAGATTGAGCTCCTCCAAAAATTTATAATTCAAATATTAGGCTAATCAATATTTTTATTCAAAATCACTTTATTGATCTTTTATTTAGGTGATTATTAATTGTTTTATATAATTTAAAGTACTAATTTTGAAAATACTCTTCAATATTACAGATAATGAATCTGTTAAGCAGATATAAAATTATTTCATTAATAAAAATAATTCTATTATTTATTAAAGGATAAATACAGAAAATTAGCTTTTATTTTAGTTAAATCAATAATTAAATATGAAAAATATTCACAAACCATGTTTAGGTAAAAATTAAATTTTATAAGAATCAGAATTTAATAAACTCTTTCTTTTCAGCATTATCTTCCTGCTGAAGTCATTTCTTCTCAAGTGTGGAATCTTTTGAAAAAACATGAACTCCACCGAGGCTTATGCTAGGGTTTAAGGATATTCTTCAGTTGTTGAAGTTGGCAGGCGAGTTTGCCACTGAAACTTCATTTTATGATATCAGGTCATTTTTATGAATGTTTTTAGTTGGAACTTTCAAGGATATTCAATCAGAAGGTATGAAATTTAAAAACTTCTCATAATATCTTGGAAAAAAAAAGAATCTAACATAATTGATAACATTCAAGATATCTGATGTTAAATTTTTAAGTTCAAAATTTATTATACAGAAAAGAAGGGAAGCTGCTGATTAATCTAATTAGATAAGGTAAAATCAAAACAGACTATAGCCTCCTCTCACATTCTCCAATATAATTAATCTAATTGGAATATGATCTGTGGACTTACTTGATATAATCTTGTAATAGTGTTTCTTGTTTAATTTGAATGAAAGCATCAACTAATATTTTGCTGAATATCATAGAAAATCAATAGTAGAAAGCAAGCCTTTAAGAATTTGACAGAGTTCTTCAGTTATATAGACTACATAATAAATATTCATTTCTAAAGAAATACAAAAAATTTCGAGACTTACCTAAAAAATATTAAAATGTCCTTTTCGAGCAGTGTTTTGGAATAGAAATATTTTAAATAAAAGAATTAGCACACTTGAAACTGTAAGATCTATCTAAATTTACCTTGTTTTTAAACAAAAAAGAATCAATTGATTTGGTTGGGAGTAAATTCAATATTGGAATTTGATGATAACAAGCTATATAATAATAATTATTAAGTTAATGAACTTCATTACTCATTCTCAAACTTATTAATAAAGTTATAGTAGTATTAATATGTTTTATTACTTCTTGATATCTTTGATACTCATCCTATTTGTGTAGCTTTTAAACCTTCTCTTTGAGCTATTTATTCTTTATGTTTTATGATTTTAATTTGGTCATGAATTCTAGTAATTTCCTTATTAATTTAAATATTTTTGTACATCTATCTCTGTTATTTATTAGCAATCACAATCTAATCTATTTTGTTCTGAACTAGATTTTATGAACTATTTAAATAAACTAGTGTGAAGATAAAAATTATTAATTTACTTTAAACGTTATGAAGTGATGGCACTTTATTATATTTTTTCATTCTGTTTTTAATGTTTGAACAGCTATGATTTATCAGACAAATGTTTAAGTTCGAAACCAAGTAGAATCTTTACAATATTTTTTATAATAACTACAATAGTGGCTGGTTTCCTTCCAAATTATGATTATTCTGATTGTTCATTTAATTCTTTATTAAGAAAATGTGTATTTAATTATTTAAAAGATATTTTTTTTTAAAGTCAACCTATAAATTGATGATATATAAATTTAGATTTATAAAATAGGAAAATTATTACTTCTATGAAAATAAATCTGTATTGCATAATTCAACTTTATACATAAAAATCATGGAAAATTTCAAGATACATTTCATGAGTGAACTTTGAGGTAAAAGAAACATAATTAAATAAAAATGAACAATCCTCTTATGAAATTGAGAAATATCGCCAAGATGAATAATATCTTCCTTTCACCTTCGAAAATTTCAAATTGAAATTGATTTCAAGGATTTTAGATAATGATGAATTATTATCTATTTACAAAAGTAGAATTTCAGTAAACAAATTCAAAAACCAAAAAATAAACAATTTTTTTAATCAATAGAGAGAATAAATGTTTATTGCTCGATATCATAAACTTATTTGTGATATCATTATTCCCAAAAGTCATACGATCAGCTTTATGAACATCCCTTAACTTTTTGATATAGGCTTAAGAACTTAGAAAGCATTATAATTTATAATTTGAATTAGAACACTATGAATGGATTTAAGACTATATTCAATTTAGGCAACAGAAAAATGAATTAATTTTAATATTATTTACTCAAAATTTTATTGATAATTGCAAAAAATTCAAGAGAGCAGTTATTACCAACTAGATATTTCTTAAACAGACTTGTAATTTATTAAATAGAAAAGTTAAATTTTGGATTATGAGAGCATTAAGAACCAGTAGAATATAAGAAATAGAATAAATTTATTTTTAATAATATCTTATTAGATTATTTTGATGAATAACATTTACAAATAAATTAAGTTTTGCAATTAAAAGAATAAGTAAATATCACTAATTGGCAAAGTTAAAGAAAATATATCAGTAATGGGGATTATTGGTAGTAATTCATTTAGACTATTCAAATTAGTTGAAGGTTCTCTATAAAATTCGAATTGAGGATTAATTTAAAATAAAAATCATTTATGGCATTATTGTTAATAACTACTTAAAAGAAATAATAGTAAATCAACTAAGATATATGATTATATGAAGAAATGTAATAATCCTAAGATTTAAGGAATAAATATAATAAAAAGCTGAGGGATGCAATTGAACTGCAAGGTCCATATTATTTTCCAAAGAACTCATAACCTTATTTCTCGTTTCATAAATTAAAAACCTTACAACAAAAAATGGATCCATAGTAAAAATAATGAAAATAGGGATAAAATATAAGGTTTACAATTATTTTTTTTTATTCTATGAATTGGCAAAAATTAAGAAAAAAATTTAGTGAAGAACAGTATAATTTGCTCAAAAAAAACAAGAATGCAGTTAGCTATGATTAAAAAGAGCAAAAATTTCATGAAGTACATTTGAAATAAAAATCCTTATTTTGAGAGAAATTTTTAAATGATACTTAAACTAAATTATCTTTTCTCTTTGATAATTGTGTCCATAAAAAAATGCATTCAGCTATTCTTGATAGAAGATAGTTGCTATCAATTATGGACAAAAGTACTGCCTTAAATTTATGAGAAACCAATTTTGTAAGCAAATTTCTGTTAAATTGTACTTAAAGGATAGATGCCTTCTAAATCAGTTTTTCAATCTAATTAAGATTTGGCTTACATAAAGATGCTCTTGCAAGAGAATTAAAATTTAGTAACTTATCTCACTCATATTATGTAGTGAGAAGAGATACAATTTTTGAAGCCTAAAGAACTATAAATCTAAAGGTATATGGAAGCTAACTAATTTTATTCACTAGAATTGCTGTATGTCTGACTGCCTATCTAAGACCTCATTGAAGAAAAAAAATCTACTTTTAAAATGAGATACATTAAAGATCCTTTCTAACATCTTTTTTTTTTGCATCTACTTTAATTAACTGATTTAAGATTTATAGAGAGGAATTAGAATTAAAATGCCCAATTGTAAAATAGATAAAGGACTTTCTTAGTAATTAATTTGTAAATCTTAATTAATTTACAAAAACTTAATTGTGGAACTCATACTACAAACATCATAATGAATATTTACTTCCTCTTATGAAAGAAATTTAGTTTGGTCTAAAATGGATCTTTATAAATAAATAAAAAAAATTTAATTTAGAGTTTGTAAAGGAGCAATCTCTATTTACTTTTTAATTATGTAATAGTTTTTATTTTGCATTCGAATTCCTCTCAAATACACAATATAAACCATCTTTTTTCTAATTTTTAATCCTTATTTAAAAATTTCTTTCATTAATATATTCCTGTATAATTAGATAAAAATATTCTATAATATTATTTTCATATTTTTCAATAATACTCTAGATACCTTGATCTTTTCCAGTCCATTCTTACATAAACTTCTTACAGAGTTTTTATGATCAATTTAATAAAGCAATTTCCTTCTTCATGAAATTCACCTTAATTTTTAGTACTACTTCCATGATATAATCAAACAGATATTATTAGATTTAAGAAGTTCAACTCTTTATTTAAAAATTAACTTTTAAGAATTTCTGATATGTTCAATTTAGTAATTTAATCTATAAATATATTTTTTTATTTTATTTGGTGTAGATTTATTTCAATCATTTTTTTCAATTTATTTACAATACTTGATTATAGATTTTACCAAAATGATTGTTTAAATAAACTTTTTATAAGAATAATGCCATTCATAGAATTTATAGATAATTGATTAAGAGATTGATAAAATTATAAAATAAAATTATTGTTTATCAGTTCGTAAAGTCAAAGCTTTAAAATATCTGCTGATAAGCTTAAATATATTATACTTTAAGGAATTCCTATGCTTTATAAATTTAAATTATAAAACTCTTTGAATATCATTATCTTAAAATAATTTAAATTAGAAAAGCAAAATCTTATTAAATACATCCATGATAGGTAGGGATTCATATAGTTGTAGATATTATCCCGTGCATGATTTAATCAATAGGCAATAAATAATAATAAAATAGAGAATATTTCTAAAAAAGAACATTTTGTAATTATTTTTTAAATGATTATGTTGTTTTTGTCAAGAAATGTTTTAATAATGATAATTTAATAAAGATAGAAAAAAATAAATAAAAAAATACCAAAGTAATAATTGAATGCAGTATAAATTTTTTAAACATTTAATAACTTTGGCTTTTAATTTCAAAGTTATTATTAAACATAAGTGATTAGATATTTTGATTATAATATTATGGATTTAATTCATAATTAAATAATTTTATTTTTATTCAAGATAATCTTCGAATATCACTTTTTCTTGATTAAATAAACTAATTTTAAGTATTTTCTAATATTGAATAAAAATTTTTTAAGTTATCTAATTCTACCTAAAAAATAGTATCATACTTCACATTGTATAATTTTGATTAATCAATTAAATTTTTAATCTAATTTCTCACTTCATACCCAAAATTTATCATGTTATTGATATCGTTAATAAATAAATCAATCAAACCATTTACAGTTTTTTTTATTTGTTAAGGTAATGCGGAAATGGTTGAATCTAAATAACTATGTGCAATAAATTATTTATTTTTTACTTTTTCTATAAGAAACAAAATATCATTTTTAATATTTTCTAAGATCTTATTATTAGAGTTAGTATGAGGAACATAATAATATTCATATTTTAACATAATCTCTTGTTATTATTAAATTACTTGATTTAATTCATCTATTTATTTTTTATATTAAGAAATAGATTATTCATATTTATCTTTATCTTTAACTTATTAAACTTTTTCAAATACTTATTTTTCAGTTTCTTTTTACATTTAAATTTATATTTTGAATTATTCAATATTTTTTATTTGATTTTCTAATTGATTTTATTATTTTTATAATTAATCATAAATTTAATTAATTTAAATGTCTAATTTATTTATTTCTTTTGAATCTATTTAAATCTATTATAATTTATCTAAAATATTTTAATTAAATTATTATTATTAAATCTTTTAATTTTAAATAAAATCTTATTATTCTTAAATTCTCTTTTCATTTTATTAAATAGTCATTTATAATACATTTTCTTAAGATTTATATAAAATAATATATTAATTTAATTATATTAACTCTTCTTATAATTTCTTATAATTCTTTTCTTATTATTCAATTAATTATTATTTAATTTATATATCATTTTATAATTATTATGATTATTATTATTATTATATTTCATTTTATTTAAACTTATTTATTTATGTATTTTAAACTTCTATTTTAATTTTGAAATCATTAATAATTTATTGTTATTTTGATATTAAATTGTCTTATTCTAATTTTTTAATTTCTAAATCAGATATATTTTATTTTTATTATTAAATTATATTAAAAATATTTTCATTTTTATTATTTTAAATCTAAATTTATTAATTATTTTCATTTTTTTAATTATTTAATGTATTTTCAATTTAAATTTAAAATAATTAAATTTATTCAGATATATTTTATTAATATTTATCTTATTGATCTTATAAATATTTTAATTATTCTTAAAAGTTTTATTTTTCTAATATAGATAACATTTATTAAAGTAAATTATTTTATTCTAATTATTTTTATTCTTAATCTTTTAATTATTATTATATTTATAATTAAATTTATGGATTAAATTACATTTATTAATTTATAGGATTTATTTAAGCAAAGTTTATTTACTATTAAAATTATTGATTTACTTACATTTTTTATTATTAATTGTTATAAAATATCAAATTCTTATTTTAATTCTAATTATTAATTACATTATTAAAGTATTCTGTTTACATTTAATTTAGTTTACCTACTACTTCTTGAATTGTTAATCTATCTTTAGGATTATGTTAAATCATTTATATTAAAAGACTCTTTAAATTTTAAGGTATATCATTCTAATTTAATTGTACCTCCAAATATTTTTAATGGTAATTTAACACAAGGTTTTAGACTTGCTAGATGTTATTTGCTAAATTAAATTACAAAAAATACCATTAAATAAAGTTTACCCTTTTAAAATTTCAAAAAATACACAGCCTAGTGACCATATATCTACAGAAAAAGTGTAATTGTTTTGGCCTTAAATCTATTCTGGTGCTTAAAAAAATGGTGTTCCTACATTTTATGTCATAAATCGATCTTAAGGCTTTTTAGCTAACCCAAAATCAATTAGTTTGAACTCATTTCCTACTTTAATAAAGTTTTCAGGTTTAATATCTCTGTGAACTAATTTTAAGTTTTCATGAAAAAACTAAATCGATAATGATAGCTAAATAAATCTTATGCTTCAATACTTATTTCATAATTCTAATTTTTTCTTCTAAATTAATTTGCTATTTTGATGATAGATATTTATATAGATCCATTTCCCCAGTTTCCATTACTATAAATACCTTATTATTTTATATAAATATTTCATATGTCTTTATAATTTAGGATGGTGGATTGGACTATTCTTTTTAGTAATTGATTATATTATTTATGGTTGCTTATTCATTTTCATTAATATTTATTTATTATTTTATGGCATATTATTTTTGATCATTTATTCCCCAATTTATTGCTTTGACTAAATAAACCTTACCTTAGGATCCTTCTCCAAGAGGAGTTTAGATTACAAATCTTCTTTAAGGAAATTTATCATTTGGTGCTTCAATCATTATATATTGGAGTTGTAATTCTATTGAAATTATTAAAATTATTATGTAAATTATCAAATTAAATTACTCATATCATTTTACAGATAAAAAGATAAGAATACAAATTACAAGTTTCAAGCCATATAGATAAATATTATTCTTTATAAGAAGAAATTTATCAAAATTAAATAAAATATTGGTAAAACCAATATTATATTAAAGAAATCTAAAATCAACTTAATGAAAGTTATTTAAATTCTGAATAATGTATGTGATTATATGTACAATTTAAAAATGAATGGTATATAAAAATAACTAAATGTATTAATAACATTTAAAAATAATTTATTATTTTTTCATTTCATTACTATTATCCTATTATTATATGTATAAAGGAGATATTTATAGATATTTTTCATTAAAAATTGAATTATATATAATAAATAATCTCCTTATAAAAAATTAATTTTTTAAAGATTTATAAAATATATCTTTTTATAGACCAGAAAATTGATTTATATTTTATTTATTCTAAAATGTCTTTAAAGTGTGGTGACTTTTGCAGTATAATTCTTATCTATACTGATGTTGTCTTAATTTCTCATATTAGATTAACAATAAATTAAAGTTGAATAGTTTTTAAATTTATTGAACAAATTATCAATTAAAATATGATTTGATTATTGATTTCCAAATCAAATAATATATTTAAATATTATATACTTACTCCTACTTTTCATATAAGCAAAGTTATAAGTAGGTTTGTATAAATGAAAATTTTGTTTTGCATATTTCTATTGGATTAAAATAATTTTATTTATTTATATTATTATTATTATCTATAATTGATTATCGTTCATTATAATGTCGATAAAAAGCCACTCTTTCTAACTTAAACTTATTCAGATTATTTGTAATCTACGGTTCTTCCTATATTATCTTTCCTTTCAACAACAATTTGCTAAATAAAATTTCTAGATTACTTTAACTTCTTTAACTTCTCCCTTCTTAATAGATTCTAATTCTGCTTCAGTTAACATGAGCTTTTCTTAAGTTTCATGATACTCTCTATTAAGAATAATGAATTTTTATTTCCATGTTTCTACTTCCTTATTTTTTAATAAATATAAATAAATACTTTTGAAAGATATGTCATTTTTTCAACAGTTACTTCTTCATGTGTAGTCTATAATTCATCAATATGATGATGAGCATCATCTAATTCTCCTCTAAGAAGATTAATTTCAGATTGTAATTAAGAAATAATGCCATCCTACTTTGTTATTTATCTCTTGATATAAATGATGATTTTTATACTTCTCTTTCGACAAGTGTTGTTTATAATGAAACTAAACTTGAACTTCTGGATAAATCATTTTTTTAGATCTGAGCTCTGAGCTCAGAAATAATCCTATCTTTTTATGCATTATTGTCATGTTCATGTTCTAATTACATTTTAACCATACGCAATTCTTTTTCTAATTTAGTTATCTACATAATTAAGATGATATTTAAACTTATTCTGTGTCTGTGACAACTTCTTTTACTATTTTTACTTCAGGTTATCTCATTTCCAATTCCATAATTCTTGCTCTAAGTAATTCAACTTCTTTATTATTAACTTTCTTTTTCTTTTGTTTCTTCACTTAAGGACAAGGTTAATAGATTTGTTGTTGTGGCATAAGTAAAAAGGTTGGTGGATGGTAAGTGTACTGACTATAGCATTTCTAATAGATTTGATTAGATATAGGTAAATAGAATCGACCATCAACATCATAATTATAAGGAATTTGTGGAGTTTCTTAATCGTAGTTCAATTAGTCTGTTTCTGGATTCATTAATAACTCAGAAATAAAATAAATTAAAAATGAAATTAAACGATCAAAAAAGCAACAGTCAATTAACTATTTTTCCTTAAGCTTACAATACAAATATGACTGCAGCCTATAAATACTTATCAAGAGAGTCAAGTGTAATAAAAAATGATAAATCAATTTTAAAATCTCCATCATCTAACTAATTACTTTGTGCATCAAATAGAGGAAGTGATAAGAAAGTGAGAATTTAGGAATCTGCTACTAAAGGTTCAATTCAATTTAAAAGTACAGCATAATTTGGTCGATCATCAACAGACTTAATTTAAGTACCACCAATGAGAAGTCTTAACAGAGAAGACAGAGAAAAGCTTATAGCCACTCTAATTTAATAGGTTAAGTAGTAGAATTAATTAATTCTTTAATTGGAAGATAGAGTGCAGTAATAAGCAGAACAATTAGATGAGGTAAATCTTTATAATGAGAAATATGAACAAAAGGAGAAATGTTATGGAGAGATAATTTCAAATTAAAATAAAATAAATTCAAGAAGTAAAAAATAATTAAAGATATCCATTAGTTTAATAGATAGCAGAGCTTAGAGAATTAGATTAAAAAACACCTACAAATGATCATTTAGAACTCTTAAATTAAATATATGAAGATGAGGTTGATATGGATATGGCAATTAAATGGAGAAATGCTAGATTGAAATTTAATTTTTTGGATGCTTTATAGAAGGCTACAAAATATTCAAAAAAATTAAATAATATTTTATTAAGAAAATAGAATCAATAATTAAAGGATTATTTTATAGAATGGAAATTTTATATAAAAAATAAAGCATTATTGAATTAATTTAATGAAGTTAGAAAATTAAGGACTGTAATTAATTTTTGGATGAATTGGAAATAATATATTTAAGATAAGAAATAGTATAATAAGAATCTTAAGTTATCAATTTAATTTTTTAATTAGAATTTAAAAAAAAAATGTTTTTACAATTTGAAATAGAATTATCTGAAATATAATTTTAGTTTGAAAGATTATTAGTAAATTACTTAATCTGCTATATATGAATTTAATAGAATTAAATTGTTTAAAGTACAAATCTAATTTTATTCAAGGTTTTCAGTTAATGGACTTTATGGATTAAGTAACAGAATTAAAAATAAAAAATTATTTATCAACACATTAATAATAGACGAACTAAATAAATGAAAGGAGTTATAAGGTTTTTAAAATAGAATTGTGATTTTCATAAGGAAAGAGCTAATAAAATAGTAAAATAAAGAGGAATTGTTAAATTGAATAAGTTGTTTAACAAATTGAAATAAAATTGGAAATAAAATAAATATAGAGAGAATCAAATTAAATTAAATAGAAATTTCTTTATAAAATTAAGACAATTCAAATAATGGATAAGAGAATATTAAAAATTATCCAGATTAAATAATATAAGTAATAAAGTTATAGAGAAGAGAGAAACATAATTTTTATAAAGATGTATTTGTATTCACATTATTTTAGTATTCAATTCTATAAAAAATAATGCAATTTATAGGAAAATGAAGAGATAAAATGAAATATTATTAAATAAGAAATATGATAATAGAGTATTGAATTGGGCATTTATGCATTGGTTAAGCAATCTCTTAAAGAAGAAGAATTTATTAGTAAAGGAATAAAATGTTATTATTTTGAAATAAAAGGATATTGATTATTAGTAATAAAATGATGTAGAGAATTTAAAATAAATGTATGATAGTGTTTAATAACAATTACAAAATTAGGAAGAATAAATTAATAATTATAAAATATTAATATCTAATCAAAAAGATGTAGAACATGAATTATAGATGCAATAGTAATAGATTATTTAATAATTAGTGATTATTTGAAATAAGAATTAATGACAACAAAAGATTAATTAATACATTATTAGATTGAAGGAGATGAAGTAAGAATCTTAAAAGAATAGTATGCATTAGCATAATAATAATTAAAAGAGTTGAGAATGTAATAAAGATGTAATATTTAAATATAATTTAATAAAGTGGGATCTCCAATTAGAAATTTGTAGAGTAGTGGAATAAATGTTGATTAGGATTAATTAAGAAAGCAAGTAGAGATAAGTTCTACATTACTGAATGATTAGAAATAAGAATACAATCATTTGCAAATGGAATATTCAAAAGTAGTTGGAGATTATGAGAAAAAGATCAAAGACATAGAGAAATATTTTGTGGATTTGTGTGACAAATAAAAGTTGTAGATAGAGAGATGTAATTAAACCAAAATATAGTAGTATTGAAGGAGAATTAAACTATTAAAATTGAGAATCAATAGAATGTTGTTTCTAGGAATAAATTAATGGATGAATTAAATATGATACATGAATCCTTTAGAGAAGAGATCCCATAATAAAATCGTACAAATTTTTAGACTCAAGATTCTTATGAATAATAATAATAATTTGGAGGTTATAATAGAAGATTAAAATCAAATTTATATAGTCAGACATCACCAATTTCAGAAAATTAATATTCTCAAAATTCTCCTTAAAAAAAAGTATAGATTGAAGATAGGTATATATGATATGATATAATTATCAAGAAGGATAAAAGAAGAAGCATGTAATTTAAGAGAAGACATAAAAAGACGATTGGCTTCTTTAAAAACTCAAATGGATTGCTAATAATGAATTTTTTATAATATTTTTAATCTATGAATAAATACTAATTATTGAAAAATCATATCTAATAATTGATACAAAAACCTCAAACAACAAATATTTTGTTTGTGAGACATGGATAAACCAATTAGAATTTAAGTAATACAATATGTGGATGGACAGATAGTAGAATGACAATTAGAGGTATAATCAAATTTTAAATAATATTGAGGAAGAGAACAGGCTAATCAATTATTATAAGCATTATTACCATTTCGTGATCAATTTAAAGGAGTATATACATCAGATTTGAGAAGAGCAAAAGAGACAGCTTAAATAAGTTTAGGATTTCCTCATGATAGTTTAATAATTGAAGATTCACGTTTAAGGTTTATATATAATATTACACAAGAGAACTCAATTTTGGAAAACATGAAAATATTGCATATTCAATGTTAGATTAAGAAACAAAAGATATTATATTCACATTTTAATACCAAGCTCCAGGGGGAGAAACTTGGTAACAAGCTTAAGAAAGGGCAATGAAATTAATAAGAGAGAAATGCAATTAGAATGGAACATATTTGATGTTTTCACATGGAGTAAATTATTATATAAATTAAAAGGGATTAATTTGTAGTATTACATATGATTTGGGGTTACAGAACTCAATAAGTAATTGTGGTTGTGTAGGTTTAGAATATGATTAATAGAAAAAAGAAATGAAATAAATATTATTCAAATGGGATTTACCAGAGGAAGAAAATGAATAAGAAATATGATTAGAAAATATTTATCTATTATAAAATTGTATAAATTTAAGTCTTTGAAATTATAATGTGATATTATAATAAAAGAGTGTTAATCATCTTTAGATTTAGAGAGTTTGAACTAAAATATGAAAAAGAATGATTGAAAGATTAGAAATTATTTAATGAATCAATTAATAAAGTATTTGGAATCATAGATTAATTGCAAGTTAATTTAATTGATCTTAAATAATACAATCTTCTTCATATTAATATGATAAACTATTGTTTATGTATTGAATATCAATACTCTTGAAATAATTAATTAATTATTTTATTTGGAATTTCTATTTTAATTATGAATTACTCAATTTATATTATATTTACAGATCGTCAAGATCAATACAATATTTTACTAGTAATATAATATGATTAAAATCAATATAAAATAGTTTGATTCATTAATGGTCTCCACCATATTGTTTCTTAAAATTTTTGAGGTTTTTACACTCCTATATGTTTGGATCATTGCTATAAAATATCTCTAACTATTTAACATCCTGATGGTAAATAGAAAAAAACTGAATATAGAATAATAGCCCATACATATCCAAAGTATATTTCAGAATCAGTATGAGTGTAACACCCATACCCTTTGATATGATTATTTCGGAATTCTCCTTTGAAATAACTATAATCTGGCCAAGTCATCAAGCCTTCTCCATGCATTAATCCTTATTTTACTTATCCACAATATCTAAAATTGATTAATTAATTTACTTTCTTCCATCTGGAAATGAATACTGCCCTCTCCCATCAATAATTCCACATTTGAATTAACCTTCATATTTAATTCCATTTTTTCTAACTTCTATTCCATTACCTTAGAGTCTGTTATCGATCCAATATCCTGAATAACATAAAAATCTACCCCTAACTTCTTTTTTTTTATTTTTAAATATTCCAAATCCATTAGCTTTATTCTAAATTAGATGACCTTCAAAACTAAAAATAATTGATTAAATTACACATCTCCATTTGAATAAATCATCCTTGCTGGTCCATTAGCCTTATCATTTACCCAAACACTAACATAATTCCTAAATATATTACCTTTCCAAATAATTTCCATCTGTTAACCAATGTTATTTTCCTATTCCATTTCTAACCCCATTTATCACCAAACCATAAAATAAAGAACCATCAGAACATTAAAGATATTTGTAATTAGAAGTATCAGTGTCAATATTTTCTATGGCTTTAAAAGTTCCCAATTCATTTAACTTCTCCTAAACTTCAGGTCTCAATTAACCCAAACTTGTAATCTCTTGTCCGATATTACAAAGAGATTAATAGATGTCCTCCAAACTATCTTAAGTATTTATATTCCTGTTATCTTCAGATTATACCAAATGAGCATACTTCTATATTATTCAGCCATATTGATTGATAGTTAAGTGCTTTAACCTGATGATTTCGAAGATTTACAATTACAAACGCAACCCATTTTATAATATGATATATATAATTATCATTTTAAATAAAACATAAAGACTTATTTATATCCTGGCAAAATTAATTTATAAATCATATTAGATTTAATTAATGTCCATGAAACACTCTTTAAATTAATATTAAACCATCTTTTGTTTCTAATTTTTAAATAATTAATATTTCATCCATTAAATAATACTTGCCTGAATTGTATTTTAAGTTTCTTTACTTATTTACCCATACTATATATCATCAATATATATCTATACTATAAATTCAACAAGGATGATAAGAGTTGGTTAACTATTTCCAAGAATAGTAAAATTTATTTTTGAATACCATTAGTTCATTATTATAATTATAAATAAATAACTATTCATTAAAATCTACTGATTTATATATGTTTTAAATTTATTAATGAAGCAAAAAAATTTACAATAATACAAAATAATTGAATTAAGTTATGCTTAATAAAAATTTCTTTTATTTATCCTATCATAAATATATATATATTTAATATATTAATTATTAATAAACCACTTACTTCACAAAATTAATGTTATGATTATTAATAATTATTTGCTTATTAATCATGAATTAGATGTAATTACTTCTCATCGTCCTCCAACAAATGCTGTAGAAGATTAATTTAAACCTTTTAATAATACAAATTTCTCAAGAACTTTTAGAAATACTCAACTTCTTCGTAAATTAGACACAAAATAAAATTATATGAACATGATGTCATAGACAAAATTAAAACCTCTAACAAAATCTTAAAGCCTTATTTGTTTAAGTCTCAAGACACCCATTTATGAGGCAAAAGAGAAAAAAATGGAACTAGCTAATTTGAGGTTGGGGAAGCGGATGAAGCGGTAAGCTGCATGTTAAACAGATTGCTTTGAAAATAATATATTTCTCAGAAAAACACACTCATCTAATTGTAAATATCAAATTACAAATATTAATTAGTCTAATAATTGAGAAAAACTGTTTTCTCTGAGACACTCTATAAATCTAAAATCGACTTTTACAAAGTAGATGAATAAACAAAATAGAAATGATAATATTTTAAATCCTTTTATATAATTCAAAGATTATCAATAAACTTTGTTAAGAAGTGAAGCATTTTTTATTCATCTCCTGGATTAATCTTATTTTATAATAAATCTGCTTTTTTTATTTTTCCATCATATAATATATAAATTTAAGGTGCTTAAATTGGAGATGGCAACATTTGGGATTCATTTAAAATATTATATCTAATTATTAATAAATAATATACTTTTTTAAAGAGATTTTTTTAAAGTTAGATATATTTTTAACTCTATAAGGATTAGGATTGCATATATTCCATGCAATTTTTTCTAAGGTTTCAACAACAGTGTGACAAGCAGCACATCCTGGCTTATAAAAATAAATAAAATCAAATCCTGACAATTCCAAATTATTAGCAGTTATAGTTTGTACTTTGTCTAATGGAATTTTAACAAATGTTTTTTCATAATATTCTTCTCTATTCTTATCTTATGGTTCTATATTTTAAATATTTAAATTTGTAGTTTAAATAATAAACTATTTCAATCTATTGACAGTTACTTTATCTCCAAAAGAATATCTCTTACATTATTTATATTAATCATAATGATATTAATTTTCTCCTAATTAAATCATATTGAATTATGTTGTATATGTTTGATGTTAATTAAGATCAAGTAATCTTACATCATCTGTAATACCATTATCAACTATACCAAAATATGTTTAGATTAGATCAATATTATCTGAATAAATTATTCCAAATTATTATTATTATTCAATATTCATAGATTTTTTGACATTAATAAGTTTTTGAATAATCTTTTCATTAAGTTCATTTTGAGTATGATACATCAAAATATATTGTACACCCATTTGTTTATAAATAAGTAATTAAGAATCCATTTATTATTTGTTAAAAACATAATTAACATAATTATTGGCTGTTAAAGTTAATCTTTAAACAAATTTCTATAAATTTTATTATTAAATAGACTATTCCTTAGATTCTAAAAGATAAGTAGATAAAGAATCATACTATTTTCTCATATTAAAAGTATCTTTAATTTAAATATTTGGTTCTTTTTCTACTTTATTCATGTAATATTCTTTGTCATTAAGATGAAAGGAAGATTCTTTTGAATTAAAGATACTTGTTTATTTGAGCACAAAGATTTCTCCAATATCATTAATTGATAAATTGAATTCTTCAGCAACTTTCTTATCTTTAATAATGTAATACTGAGCTTCTCTATTATAATCAAGAAATCTGAGCTCTCTTAATTATTCTTCAAATTATTAAGGATCACTCTATTAAGAAATCTAAAATGTATTTATTTATTCTTCTGTGTTTATTTTTGTTGGTATGTAACTCAAGATAATCTTAGCATCCATTTTATCAATAAGATTGATAGCATCTTATTTATTATTTAGGATTTATAAGGGAGTTAAGAAATTAAGTAATTTCAAATAATCTTCTTCTCCTTTTATTTTCAATAGAAGACATCTATTTTAATTAACTGCAATCAAATCATAATCATTGAAGTTGCCATCATAAATACAAAAATTAACTTACAAATTTTTAGGAAGATCTTCTATTATGTTTTTATTTAAAATAATGATTGTATTAGAGAAATGCTATGGATTTGCTAACAATGTATTTACATCTTTTTCATTAATGATTTTAATTGTTTGCATATTAATTTATGAACATTTGAACTTTGATTATTAATTATAGATGAGAGTCAAACAAGTTGCAAGTTAAGTAAATTTTAACAATTTAGGTATTAATCTAATAGTTCTAAACATTATATATATTTTTGAGTTTATAATTAAATACACAACAAAATATTTTAATTAATAAAAACTAGGAATGGATTAATAAGTAATGGAGACAGCTAATAATTATGATATTATTATAAATGAAGTCATTACAAAATTGAAGAGAAATTCAGATAAAGGTTAATTGTAGATGAGTGAATCTGAAATCCAAACATTTAAGGATGTATTATTTGATTAAATTATCTAAGCTCTGGCAAAATCATCTGAAAGCAATTTAGGAAGGTAGAGAAATAAAATGTAAAACAGAAGTTTAAGCCTAATCTAAGAATTGTCAAGCTGACACTTTTTAAATTGACCATCCTATTGAAAAAAGAGTACAAGTAGTGAAATAAGTAATTATATTATATTTATATTTTAGGAGGAAGATAATTAAGATGTAGATGTGAGTTTTGATGAAGATTCAGATGAGAAAATTCATCATAATTAAGATCTTGTTGATAACTATTAAAGTTAGAATTAGAAAATTAAAGAATTTGAAAAGAACAGATGTGAAAGTCTAAGAGAAAGGACTCTTTTTGATAAAATTAGAGAATTAGAATAACTTAGAAATTAAGTTAAATAGGAAGAATAAGATGATGATGATACTGAAGAGCCAAAAACATTTGACACATAAATCTTTGCTTAAAAGATTAATACTGACAGTATTGTTAGTCGTATTAGAGTAATCATTTATTATATATTAGCCCAATAAATTACAAAAAGCAAGTTTGGAAAATGTACTAATCAAAGAAAAAAACAATAAGGAAGCACTCTATCCATAAGCCCAATTATAATTTAATTTTAAAACAAACAAAAAAAAAAACTAATGATGAAATTGTATATATCATTCCTAAGATTTTAGTTACTCCAATTTTCTGTCCAATAATGACATATATATTTTAATCTAAACAATCATGATTATTACTCTTATATTTATTTATGCACATATATAATCAAATAATTTATATGTTCATTAAATTGTTTATTATCCTTCTGTTTATATCAATGCCATTAATTCAACTATGACATCATTTATTGGTGTATAAATTTAATTTTATTTTTCTAATGAATTTACACAAGAAATCCTAAATATATGTAAAACATTTTATCCCAACTTATTCTTAATATTAATTTATACTTTATTCACTAAATTCCAATTAATTTTATCTGAATGAGTTTGAATTAAATAGAATAATAATTACGATTGATGAAACTGGGCTGCTTTCATTATTGGTGATTCTCCTCCCTTTCTTTAAAAATCAATTTTACTATTGTTTGTATATTAGGTGATGCCTTAGATTATATTAAATAATCCACTATTGCAAGATTGCCAATTGCACAAGCAAAGTGAAGTGGAGTTCTTCCAAACTAATTTTTGTTTCAAAATTTACTATATCTTATTAATCTATATCAGCTTTCTAAATTGCTACTAAAAATTGAACTAAATTCAAATTCCCATTGCTTGCTGCCTAATGTAAAGCTGTTATGCCTTAATTTGTTAATGCTACATTAACATTTATTTCAATTTTTGGTGAATTAAAAAATTACACTATTTATTCATTTTTATCTAATATCAATATTATAAATATACTTTACATAATTGCTAACCATAAAGCATACTTGAGTTATTCAACTTATTATTTTTAATCAGTCATAACAATTTATATAAATTATTTTAAATAATACAAATAATTACTTCTTCTTATTGAATTATTCAATAAATATTATAAAGCATATTACATATTTTCAATGTATTTAAATAAATGGAAATAAATATTAAATTATCATTAAAATTAAATAATTTAATTTTTTAATAATGGAAAACAAAGAGTTAGAGTAAGAAATCAAAAAGAAAATATCAAATATTCCACTTAAAGATAGAGCAAAAGTTACAGCTCTTAGATACTATTTAAATAAATGCAAATAAGCTGATACAGACATGGAAACAACTTGTGATAATATACAATCAAAATATGATAAATTAAGTATGCCAATCTATCAAAGAGTAAGACTCATATTTATTTAATTAATTAGGCTGATGAAATAATTTTGGGTACAGCATAATTGAATGAATAAAATCTTGGTTTAGCAGCTAAATTATTATCAGAAGAAGAATTATAATAATTTAATCAAGCTCCTAAAGAATCTAAATCTATTCCTGATTATTGGTTAAAAGTCTTTAAAAATGCTGATTTATAGGAATTACCATTATCAGAAAGAGATGCTGAAGCATTCAAATTTTTATAGAAAATAGAATTCACATTAGCTGAAAATGATTCAGATTTCTTTCTTAAATTTCATTTTGCAGAAAATCCATTCTTTAAATAAACAATTTTAGAAAAGAAATTTTATTATGAAGATGATGAATTAACTAAAGTAGAAGGTACTAAAATTGAATGGAATGATGGAAAGAATTTAACAAAGAAATTAATTAAAAAGGTATTTATAATTATATATAATTTGTTTAGAAATAAAGAAATAAGAAGACAGGATAATTTAGAGTGATTTCAAAGGAAGTTGATGATGAGAGTTTCTTTTTATTTTTTAGATCAATTGATATATCCAATAAGGAAAAGTATGATAAATTACCTGAAGATGAAGTATTTATATAAATATAAAGTGTAGTAAATTTCATTATAAGGTCAATTAGATGTTGATTAGGATGTAGGTAGAGAAATAGTTGATGAATTATTACCATATTCTCTTGAATACTTTTTAGGAATAAAGGAATTTAAGACTGAAGATGATGCAGGTGCTGAAGGAGAAGAAGATGATTCTGAAGAAGATGAAGAAGTAGAAGTATAAACTAAAGGATAAAATAAGGGAAAAGATAAAAAAAAGAAATGATTTATGTATATTAATTTTTATGTATTGTACAATTAAAACAATCTCATGACTATAAAAATGATATATTGAATAATTAATGTAATGTGTATATTAATAATATTTTAGTGTTGAATTTTAATAATAATTTAAATAAATGAGCAGAACTAATGATTTCTAAACTAAAGTTGAAAAGATTATTGAAAATGTATTTAAAACTATTTTATTATATACATAGTATCTTTAGAAGCATAAAATATATAATATGAAAAATTCACTTAATCATGTTGATCCACCCATTTCTGAATTTGATATGCTCGAAAAATAAATGACTAGAAATAATATGATAGATGATTTAATTCGAAAGATTTAAGTGTTAGTAGATATTACAAATGATCATATTAAGATTGAAGTATTTTCATTAATAAATCTACATGTAGATTGAGTAAAAGTTCATTCGATTTGAATAAGAAATTTCAAATTTAAGATCAATAATTATGATGCAATAAGATTATAATCCTCCTTAATTAACAATGACTCGTTCTGAAAATAACTCATTTATTGAAATGAGTGATTCATTTCTAAATGATGAAAATGCTACTTCTTTTAAAAAAAAATTGAAAGAAATTTAAGAATAGTTTACAAAGAAAACATAATAATTAGATAATATGCTTACTTTAGTTATAGATTAATAGTAAAAATGTTTATCAATATTAGATTGTAATTAAAATAATAAATAATTCAAAGTCCATCAACAATATAATCAAATGAATATTAAATGGATCTTAATTAATAAGCAGATAAAATATTGGATATAATTTAACCAAGTAATAATAATCATATATATTAGAAATATAATTTTTGAATAAAGAACATTTTGAAGAAAAATATTAATAATTTAAAAAAGTTATGGAAGAAATGAAGAAGAATGCTAAAGAGAAATAGTCTCTTTTAATGACAATTGTTGATGAATGTAAGAGAGATTGTGAAAAAATTGAAAAAAAATTTAATGAACATATTACTTTAGTGAATGCAGAAAAGAAGAAATCTTGGATTCCTTTCAAATGATTTATGTTATGTATAAAGTACCAAATGTGCTAAATTTTTCACCTTCTCAATAAATGAATACTCATTTTTCATTTAAATATGGATGATATCACTTATGTAAATCAAATTCAATAAATGCTACAACATGGTTCGTCTTTCTTTTAGTTTCCATTATTTATCTCCTTATTCTAACTGCCAGTCTTAGTCACTGGTTTATTCATAGATTTAGCTTGCAATGCTTTTTTGACAGCCTCATCGAATACAACCTTCAAACCTTCCTAAGTTAATGCAGAACATTCATAATATTACAGATTTTGATTAGCTAAGACTTGTTCAGCCTATAAATAAATAATGTATGATTACTGAAGCCTTTTTAATGTGCTTGCTATTACTTTCATCTCTCATATCTATTTTATTACCAACAATAATTTTTGGGACTTTTTATAATTCATCTTGATTTAACTCAGGGTACCACTTTAAAATCATTAAATAAAATTACTTTTGTCAAAACATTATCAAATGAACTACTATCTGCCACAGAAAATACTATGAGGAAAATATCTGCGGATCCATATGATAAAGTTCTTAGTCTATTATATGTTTCTTGACCTGCTGTGTCCCATAAACTCAAATTTACCATCTAATTGTCAACAGTTAATTGGGTAGTATAATTATCAAATACTGTGGGTACATATTCTGTGGGAAATTTATCTGTTGTGTAACTATATTCCTTATATTAATTCTTACCTTAAAAGTATGCATGTTTTACCAACACTTCCATCTCCTACTACAACCAATTTAATTTAAACTGACTCCTATGAACCTTGCATTATTAATTTTTATTTTATATTTTAAAATTCCATATTAGATGATCCTTAAATTATCTAATATATCCATTTATGCATACATTTATTATTTAATTCTACAGAGTGAAACTACTTAAATAATCATAGAAATCTATTAAAATAATAACAAAAGTTAAGATAATATTATAATTGACCAAGAATATTAATTTTCTTTTATTTTTTTTATAAGTTAATCCAATTTTTTAATAATATTGTTTTGATTAATGCCTAATACTTAATTAAAGAAGAAATTATAAAAATTTGAAGGATTTATTCAAATTCTTAAAAGAAGACAAGATTATTATAATATATATAATTAGATGGAAATTTATAGATTATAATTATCTTAATTGAATTGAAAATAAATTAATTCAATTAAGATAATATTCCTTAAATAAATGATCTAACTATCTCATATTGAAGATTAATTTCTAAAAGTGGATAGAATTTTGTATTCTCAAGTTCTTAACTATTTTATTGATAAATTATGTTCATTATTAGAATTTAAAATATTCTAAAATTTTCCATTAGATTTTCTTGGAATAAGTAAATAATTAAATATCTATGATTCTATTTTGACAATTTGAGATTTATTAGAAGGATAATTAAATTAATTTAAAATTAGTGTTATTTTTTGTATAAGCATTAATTAATTGTGAAAGTAAAAATTTATTACTATAGAATCTCTTCTATTTTTATAACATTTCATAATTGAAAATCAATTCATTATAAATAACTCAGACAATTTAATAAACAAAAATTCAACTCTATATTTGAATATTAATAAACAATTATAATTATTTTTAAAAATGTATGATAAAACAAATAAGTTGAAAAAATTAATTGATTTTCATCTTATCAAATCAATTTCCTTCTAAACACCACTCCTGAAAAAATCTCATTTTAATATAAACATTTGGTAAACTACTTATATTATTTTGACTTATTTATTATCCAATATCATTTTATACTGAAAGGATATTTTTTTTGCTAATATCTCCTTATGTTTATAATTAAACTAATAATTGCCTTCCATGATCATTGATGATCTATAAAATAATAAAAGAACTTCTGTAAATATTGATTAAATAGAAATATTTTTGAAATAATTTAAAATATGATAATAGATTTTTATTAATTATGATAATTTATCCTTTCTACTTTTTAATATAATCTTCGTTATATTTTCTTTTATATTCTTCATTTTATTCTTAGGGTATCGATCAAATAAGAATATTCTAACTCTTTAACTATTAGAGATAAAAAAAACTATAAGATTTAAATACTCAATAAGAGATATACGTTTACGTATATTAATTATTTATTATAAATTAACTTAAATAATAAAATCATTATATGAACTATAGTATAGTAATATAATTCTTAATATAATATATGTTATATATAATCCATTTCGATTTTATAAAATCTATAAGGTTTAATGATGAACATAATTTTAAGAATATTCTAAGTTCCAAAATAATAAATGGAGATGATTTTATATAGTATCCAAATTATGAAGTTTAGTTTTTTTTCAAATATAAACTCAATTTTTAACTTAGTATATTAAGAAGATTAAATTTAAGTTTAGAATAGTAAAAGTAAAATTAAAAATTAAAGATATTGAAAGAGATCTATAAAATATTAAAATATCGAATAGTTTATTGAATATAGAAATTATGATAAGAATAGTCATATTTAATCATTTATTTATAAAAAATACAAGATTAATTTTAATCCTATATATATATATAAGTAATTCTTAAATTAGATTGTATTTTGTATAAATTAATTATTATTTTAAGAATCCAAATAAAAGAGTGTTGATTGAGTAATGTTCTTTTAAATGTATCTAGAAATCTATAAATTTTTTTATAAATAAATGAGATTAATAAATTAAAAATATGAAGAAAATTTCTAACTATATCAATGCATTGATTGGTAAAGGAAACACTCCATTTTTATAAAAGGTTAATTCAAGTTCATTAATGAATAATACTCCAATAATTTTGATGACAGATATTTTATATTTAATTGAATGTTTTGAAGGGTATGGACCAGAATGTCAAGGAATTTATTTGACAGGACAAGAATATTTATAATAATTTTTTCAGGAACTATCTTAAAAACCTTTGAGTGGGTTGATGGCAGTAAAAATTTCATTAACAATCCATTTGGTTTTATATGAGTTTTAAATAGGGGAAATTGTGGCTGAAGAGATGATATCAAGAGATTATAAGCTATAAGTAATTGAAACATAGAGTCATGGATAATTTGTATAGAATTATTTGATGTACCTATTCAAGTTGGCTTAGAATTTGAAATTGTTTTATTCATGTAAAATTGGATAATATCCAATCTTTGATTAGGAAGTAACTTATACAAATTATAGTGAATCTACAAGAGAAAATCAAATAAACTAATTTAAAATGTTCAAAAAGTAATAAAACTTTAAGGATACTAATCTTTAATATCGTGAATATTAATAGAAGAAACTAGAAACCCATTTATAAAATAAGACTGGATACATAACGATAGATTAGAAAATCCTCTATTTATTTAAATTATTAAATTTATTGAATCAATGCATATAAATATTGAATTTGTGTATAGGTGTGTGTTAAATTGAATAATAAGATATAAAAAATATATATATAGAGATTAGTTGTGTATTATGGAATGATACTATGGTGATGTATAAATTTGCAACTTTAGAGGTATACATATATATATTTATATAATTCATGATAGATATGCAAAATTCTAGATTCATTTCGTTTCTTGCCTCTTTAATAATTATAATCATTATAATAGGTATATTGGGCAACAACTAATTCTACAAAGAGTATTAAGTGGATATATAATAATAGAAAGTATTTTGATAGTTAAAACATTGTGAAATAGCCATATTGGTTTGAAGAGAATAATCAAATTATTAGAGATATATAAAATAGTATAATTGATAGTAAGATGAATTCAATTCCAGAGTAAAAAAATTATTTATTAATGTAGATCTTGTCGTTAATTGAAATTATAAACTCCTCAAAGTTCTAAATTGAAATCTCCAATGCAAATTTAATAACCTTATTCAGGAAGAATATTAAATTAAAGAAATCAACCATTTTTTATAGCACATAAGAAATTATAGGAATCAATATCTTAATATACAGAGATAAAGGATTAAAGTTAATAATAAAATAATTAAAAGAATAATAATATTAAACATGCAATATATCCTATATTTTCAGATGAAGAGATGCAATTGTCTCCAAAAATTTAATAATAAGAATTAATAAAATGATTAAAATACTAAATATAGAAATTAATTATTTATACAATCAGATGTAATACAATTACTCATTTCTATTATTAAATGAAATAAGAGGCAAGTAATCCTTGACCAACCTTCATTTCACTAAAATTTCTATTTTAATTAATTCCCTCTTATTGATCTATTTTAATTTTGGTTTCAAATAAGGACATTGTATCTTCTAAAGACCAAACTTTAGTGAATTCTATATTACTATTAAATTATTCTTCTATTTCTTAAGGTATTTTTCTAATAATATTCCTCATTTAAATTTGATTATTCCTTTTTTCAATAATCATTTTATTATCAATTTCAATATTGTAAATATCTTTTAAATACATAGCCCATTAATTTTATTCTAATTTAGTTTTGATATCTTTAATTTAATTCATATTTAAATTAGATTTATAAGATGACATAATCTATTAACTATAAACACTAGTTAATTGAGTAATCTAACTTACTCTAGTACTTGATGTAAATGTTGATAACATTCTTATTTTATTATAATCACCTTCAATAATACTTTATTGTTTAGCAGATGAATATTAATAATATGAAGGTTATTTTATAACAGATTATAATGGAATTTAAGATTAATCTTATTCATTTTAATGAATTTTTTCTTCTTTTAAAATTTCATAAATTACATTTTCTAAAAATGAATCATCTCTTTCAACACGATATGTTATTTCATCTGGCTCATTAAATTACAATTATTAAAAATTATTACCAATTATTTTAGATTCTAAAATGTTATCTTCAAAATTATGATTTGTAGATTCTACTATATATTAATTTAATTAACATGAAAGTACATGTTATCTAAGATTAATTTTAACTTTTTCATAAAGATATTCAATTCCTCTAGGTAACAAACAAACTTATACAGTCCATTAATTAAGAATTTCTTACATAAAATTAGAATCAGCTTTGTAATTTAATATTAGATATATATACCTATAATATAATCTTTGAAAACTAAGTAATTAGTAGATAATTGTTAAGATGCTTTACTATAAAGTTCATTGGCTTATGAAATTACAATATCTAATATTATTCCATAGAGAGATCCAACTTTAACATTTGAGTGTCCAATCCAATTTATACTTTATTCATGTAATGACAAATCAAGAATATTAGAAGTAAATTTATTTAAAAGACAATTTATAGCACTAGGATAATATTAAAAATAATCATCTTTAGATCTTTAACCAATTACTTATTATTCATTTGTACAATGATCTTTCATATAGAATTATTATAAGACAATTCTTTTTTATTTTAAAAGACTTTCAAATGAAGTAAATAATTCATTTTCAATAGAATCCATTTATGAATTTCTAGTACCTTTTATTACAATTTATGACCACAATCTTGCAAGAGCACTTGTGAATGTAATTTTAGGAAATTATGTAGTAAAATATTCTTCAAATATCAAATCTATTTTATTAAATATTTTTTTTAAAGCTCTATTTAATGCCCACATCATTCCAACATAAGATTCCCATAAAATAGTATACATATTTAAAAACATGGCTGGATTTTTTTCTGTTTTTGTAATCATCAAAACATTTCTACTAAATAAACATCTTTAATAAATGAAATTGAATATTTAAAGTAAGAACCTTAACAAAAGAGGTATATTCTCAGAATCTAATATAGTTGGATCCTTTAGAAAATTATCAATTACAACCCATCTTAATTCAAATAATAATTAAGTGTGTTTCATATTTGAGTAATCAAATTTAGACAAACAATCTTAATAAATCTTATCTGTTAATTCATCTAATAATGGAACCTTCTCAACAGATGTATAATCAGTGGTTCTTTATGCCAATTCTAATTGAAACCAGCTAGTTGTACATTACTTAAGAATATCATCTGTCAATAAAGGAATAGGCATAACTGGATTACGACCTATTTCTAAGATCTTATCAACCAGTGGATATTCTATATTAAATGTCTTTTATATCTCTTCTTCTATGATTCTCATTTATTATCTAATTGTTATTCATTTAGTATTACATGCTTCTCTAGAAACTCAAATATATCCTGATCCAGGATTCATCTTAGTTAGTTTCTATACTCAACAATTGAGAGTAGTATACGGAAAGAAATCTCTAATGTAATCCATATTCTACAAAACATCTGAGCTGTAGCTTGCGTAAATAGAATTAAGTAAGAAAGTTTGAATATATGTTACTGCTCATCTCTACCATGAATTTTAGTTTTTTGTTCACTAGTTTAAGTTAAAAACATTCTCGTATTGTCAAGAAATTTAAGAAATACTGTAAGATTTTAATGGGATTATTTGGCATCTCTTCCTCGCTCATTTTTCTAAAATATCTGCATTTCATTATACGTCAGGATATCTTGACTTTATAATTTCATGTTTTCAGATAGACTTTTTCTTAGCTTTGAATTGTCATTTGATTCTTTTGATGCCAATTGACTCATGCACATACCAATCAGATAATCTCTTTTTCTCAGTTTCTTCTTTTCTAATTATCCCTATTGTTGACTCTAGTTTGCTCCCATTTAATTTAATTGATTGTATTAAATACCTATCTATTTAAATACTTTTAACACTAAAATCCATATGGAAAACCATGAACAAAAACAATATTATGTTCCCAATAATCTATCCTTATTTACTAACTAAAGACTATATTTAATTTTTATAATCATTAAATGGATCAAGTCGATATGATATAAGATGATCAATAATCTCCACTACACATTAAACAATAACTTGATATTGATATATCATACAGAGTAGCATACCCAATCAATTTGGATTTACAATAAAAAGAAACACCTAAAACAACAGAGAGAACTATTAAACATCTTGAAATTGATGAAGTACAAATACTAACAGAAACAACATCAAAAACATAAATTGATGTATCCTCTCCTAGAGTACCATTCCTAACTCATTCCTAAATAATGGGAATGCATCAAGAAGAAGATGAAGTCCCTTTTAATAGATCTGCTTTAAATTATCCACTTTCAGAAATTCCTGAAGAACTTACACCCAGTATTATGCCACATGTACTTCATTTAATACTATTCAAGATATCTAAGGTATCTAATTAAGAGGTTATCATTGATAATATGAGTATAGTAAATAGTTAGTAATTGAAATTTAGTAAAAAATCTTCTGAAACTAATGTTGTATCAATTATCAATATAGATGGTAGCAAATTGAAAGAGGAAGTAATGTTATTTATAATTATATAAAAATAGTTAAAAGAACATATAAGTTTGTTGGAATCTAAAGTTTAAGAATTAGAGAAAGAAAACATAATTCTTAAAAAGAAATCTAATTAAGAGAAAATTAAATATATTGAATTGCAGATGGAAACAGAGTATAAATTAACATCAATAATTGAATAATTTTAAGATTAAGAGAATAATTATAAAAAATAAATTAATATCCTTAAAAATGATCTTAATAATGCAAAATTATAAATTCATATAATAAACCAATAGATTCCACATAATATAGAATAATAATTATCATAATCATAAATTTAATTGTCATATAATAATAAATCTTAATAATATTATAATAAATAATCAACCTTATCATAGTCATTTAATGAATAATTAAACAAAAATTAAAAAGATTTATATCTTACATAAATTTAATATGAAATTGTACATTCTAAATTAATCAAAATCATAAAGAAGATAGATTAATAGATTGATATTAATAAAAAAGATTTATGTGATCTCTTATCAATATTAGAAAACAAAGTTTAATCAATAATTAATAGTGAAGAAGAGGAAAAAATTGATGAACATAGAACCTTATTATCAACATTAAAAACTGAATTGGGAGAAATTAAATAAATAAGAGGATAATTATCTAGAGTATTTTATGATCATGATTAATTTATCCAAAAGAGAAAGAATGAAAGTATAAACGATTTAAAAATTAATGAGTTGACTCTCTAAGTTTAAGAATTTAAGTAATAAAAATTAGAATTAATTGAATAGACATAAAAATAATAGGATTAAATTAATTAACAGAATTAAATAATTATTGAATTGCAATAGAAACTAAGTAAAATATTATTTTTTATTTAGATAATTCATCTTAAACTGATACACAAAGAATGCAATCTTAATTTATTCGTTCACTTTAAACAAATCCTATTAAGAATATCAAGGAAAGTATAAAATAGAAATAAGAGTTTTCAAAGTAAAAATTTAATAATATTTAAGAAAATAAAACTTAAAATTATAAAATTCTCCAATGAGTCGATCTGAAAATGCTTCTCCATCATTAAAATTCCTGAATTCCCCTAAGTAAAAATAGTTATAATATTAGAAATTCTAATTGTTTTTCTACACATTAAAAATATTAGAAAGATGATAAATAGTAAGAATTCTGTTATTAAACATCTGATTTTAGTGTTAATTATAATTCAATTTATTAATCAACAACTTAGAATTTTAACAATAATGTTAATTCAAATAGTGAGATCATTTAGAAATTAATTGAACAATTTAAAGGAAATTCAATTTTTGCATAAAAAATATCGGGTTATTCAAAAAGAAATTGAAACATATGAATTTTTAAGTCTTTGCAAATTGCATTCTCAAATCTATTGAAGCATTTAATAATTAATCTAATTATTTTAAATATTAAAATTAAATCATATGTCGACGAAAAGAACAATAAAGATTTAGCCAATCAATATTCCTGGTCAAGATGCTCCCATAATCTTAGATACAATTGATAGTGATTTATTTTATTTAAAAGCTAAAAAAAAAGTAGCAGGTAATTTAATTTATGTATTTTTAGAGACTTTAAAGGGATATAATCAAGATGAGTTTGTATTTTATTCTAAATTCAAAAATATAGTAGTTCATGAAGATGATAGAGTATCAAAGTAAGAATTATATTTTAAGAAATAGATTATTTTAGAATAATAATTAGAATGAAATTGAGTTATATTTGACATCTGATTTAATAAAGAAGGTTGTTTCAGGAGGACAAGGTGGAGGATAATTTTATTAAGTAGCTTAATAAGTAATGGGACAGCAGTAGAATAAGGATAATAAGTTAGAAAATGAAATAAGAGAATTAAAATCAGAAAATTTTAAAATATAAAACAATGCTAAAATAGAATAAATTGAATTAAATGGTCAAATTGCAGAATTGTAAGAATAAATAGTAGAATTAAAAAATGATTAAAAATCTATAAAAAAATGGTATGATGAGAAAGTAAAATAGGAAGAAGAGTAAAGAGCAGAAATAATATAAAAATATAAAGAAATGATAAATACTAATAATAATTTGAAAAATGAAATGATGTAAAAAGACAATCAAATTGAAGAATTATAATATCAATTAAAAGCTGTAGAAGCAGAGAAAAAATTCAATGAAGATTAATATAGAAGAGAGAATGAAATGGGAAGATAGAAATCTACAATTGTAAATGATGGTTAATTAACAGAAATTAAACGTGAATCTGAAAATTTCAAAAGATTATATTAAGAAGAATAATTTGAAAGAAAAAAAGATAAAGAAATGACAACTTAATTTTAGAAGTAATGTTAAGATTTTAAAAATAAATTATAGTAAAAGAGTGAAGAATTAAATCAAGCAAGAAGTATTGCAGAATAAGAAATAGCAAATTTAAAAGAAGAAAAAAAAACATTAGAAGAAAAATGTGAATAATAAAAAGAAACAATATCATAATTAAAAAAAGAGGTTACTGATTAAATTAATAAATATATGAAGATTTAAAGATAATAAAGTGAAGCAGAAGCAGAGTTAAGTTTATAAATAAAAACTGTTAATAAATTAAAAGAAGAAGCAAAAGAATAATTATAAGAAATAGAAAGAAAAGATTAAATTATAAGGGATATTAAAAATACAAAGGAGGCATAATTAAATAAGATGAATAAATCAGAAGAAGAAAAATAAGATAGAATTAATTAGTTAGAAAATGATTTAAAAAAAACTAAAGAAGAATTGAGAAGAACAAAAGATAATTTATCATTAGAAATTTAATAAAAAGCAGCTGATATTATTAAATTATAAAAAGAATTATCAAATTTAAATGAATAAAGTAATCTTAATATGTAGAAAGCAAATTAGGAAATATAAAAATTATTTAATTAATTAGATAAAGAAAAAGATAAATTAAGAATTGAAGAAAATAAAAGAGTTTAATTAGCCAAGAGAATTAAAGAAAATGCACTAAGAAAGGTAGGAGATGGAAAAATTATTTCACCTACAGAAGCTGTTTTTAGAAATATGTCAAATCCTTTTGAATTTTCAAAGAATGAGAATATAATGACTAATGATTGGACTGCTCAAGTTGAATTAATAAAAGTGGATACAAATAAGGCAATAGAGAGTTTAACAAAGTTATAGGAACCTAATATATCATAATTTGTAAATAGAGAACCTCTTGGTAATTGGTAAATAAAAAGAAGTTTAGGAATTGTAATATTAATATAAATATATATTCTAGAATGGTGATGGTACAAAAAGAAAAGGATTTTTGATGTAAGTAGTGAATAGTGATGGAGATCGTTTTACAAATTAAACTTTCTTAGTTAAAGAATTGGTTGGATTTGAGAGAATAGTGACACTTGAAAAGGCTTTATATGTTGCTTAAAATTTATTAATAGCAAAAGTTTTAGCTGAACATTTCTAAGAAAAGATTTAAAAGGCTGCTTCTGAAAAGCCTCCCTGCAAATTTGCTTATAAGGAACCCTTTTTATTGTAAACAGAAGGAAGTAATCAAAATATTATTTATTCCTTTTTTAGATTATTATATTGCAGAAAGATTGATAAAAGGAACATTTACAAAATTCAATGGAGAAGGTGATTCTATGGATAAGGATCAAAAGGTTACAAGTTATTTTAATGCATTTTCACTTTTCACATATTATGCAACTCAAAAAATGTTGATGGTATCAAATATTTAAGGTAATTTTGATGGTGCTGAATTTATATTGTATGATCCAATAGTTTCATCACCTGAAGGCATAATGGGAGATGAAGATTTAGCAGAACCACATATATTATAATTTTAGGATAATTATAAAGAGAACCCTAAAACTTATGGAAAGAATTATTTAACAAGTTTAGGGATAAAAATATGATAGAGAAAATGAAATATCATTTAGAGATATTATATCCAATAAATAGAATAATTTTTAATCTTTAATTATATATTTCTATTTGTAGAGTATTTTTTTTATATATAAGTAAATTTTCTTAGAAAAAAATTTAATTAATTTAATTACAAATAAAAATGATTAATTAAAGAGTATACATTAGAGCAACAACTAGAAAACAATAGAATTAACAAATTGATGACTTTTATGGAGAATAATAATATGATGATATAGAATAATATGATTCATTATTGTATAAAAGAACTTAAAAAGAATATTTAAATGAAGAATTTAAATCAAAGAAAACTCTACATCACTTTGATATATCAAATCAATAATGGAATATTGTATTTTAATAAAATCCTTAAACTTAATTGACAGAAGAAAATATTATATCCAGTGAATAAGAAATAGAATAGAATAATTACGAAAAATAAAAAGTCTTCTAATTATTCAAAATTGAGGATTTTTCAGTTCTTGAAATAAACGAGATAAATTACATAGAATAATTATAAGTATAAAAGGATTATCAAATGGTTGGTAAAAAGCATAAATAAAATATAAGCAAAAAAATATACAAATTTGTATGCTGATGTTTATGATTACTTAATATATATATAAATAATTAATATATCTATAAAAATAGAAAATAATAATCAATAATAATTTATTATTTATATATTTAAATTGTGCTATTATATATCAATATTATATAAAATATTCCAATATAATCATAATAAATAATCCTTTATCTATTTATCAATACTTTTCTAAAATTGCATAAAATATAATAATGATTATTTATCTATCTAGTAACAAATATTCATAATACTTTTAATTAGTTATATGAATAGTATGATTGTGTATTTAGATTTGTATTTTTATTTAAAAAATTCAGTTTATTTTATAGTCATCAGATTAATTATGATAAGTTATTTAAACTGAAAATCAAAAAATAATTAAGGATGAATAAAGGTTTTACTATTAAAATGATAATAAACTTGATTCTAATAAAGATAAACATTAATATTGAATGATTTCGAAGTAGTAGAGTAAAGATGTTTATTGTTATTAAATGTTTAATTTACCTACTACAAAGTGATTGATTATGTGCTCTAATTAATTAATATTTTGAGTCCCATTAATTTTGGTAACGACTTAACAACAATAATATACATCACAATGATTAGTTAAGTTAATAATTAAGTAGCTGAACAACCAGCCAATCATAAACAAAACAATAAAAAGTATTGGAATAATGAAGAAGATATGAAATTGAAATCTGCTGTTAATTTACATGGGTCTAATTGGAAAGTTATAGCAGAATATCTTCCTGGAAGAAATGCTTCATAATGTGCTTAAAGATGGAAAAGAATAAAACCTAAAGAAGTAAATAATTATAATATAATAGGATGAAAGAAATTAAAAGTGGAGTAAAGAAGAAGATGAAGCAGTACTTAGACTTACTTAGAGTTTTTAGTATAATTGGAGATTAATTGCTCATCATATTCCAAATAGAACTAGTAGACAAATTAGAGAGAGATTTGTTAATCATTTAGATCCAAATATCATCAAATCACCTTGGACTGAAGAGGAAGATAAATGGATATGGAATATGTATTAGAATATTGGTACTAAATGGTCTGATATGTCTAAATAATTGCTTGGAAGACCTGTAATTATAAATTTTATACTAAATTTAGGAAAATATGATAAAAAACAGATTTTATTCTTATATACGAAAATAATATGGGAAAATATAAAATCCTTATTATGTAGTACCTAATAATGTGAGAATATTAGAAAAGGAATAATTAAGAAAGAATAATATAATTAAAAAAAGGAGAAAATTTAGAAGGTTTCATTAAATGAAAACGATTTAATAAAATAAATAAGGTAAACAACATCTTTAATATGAAAATGAATAATAAATTTAATAGGAACAATTCTTATAAAATTAATATCCTTATTTGTAATAATAGTTTTAATCATACTATCATTTTATACAAACTGAATATTAATAATTACAATACCCTAAAATAATTTATCCTTATTAATTTATTACTTCTTCTACTTTAAATCCAGAGTTTTATGGATAATTAAATACATAAGATTTATTGAACTGTAAAATAGAATAGATGAATTAATAAACTACTTCTGATTTAACTAAATTACAAAATAATGAAATCTAACTGACAACTTTAAGTCTTTCTAAAATTGGAGTTAATTAAATTTAACTATAATAAATTGACATCAAAGAAGAAGAAGATAATGATAATCCTAAAAATTAAAATAAGAATATTGAAAAATCAACATACCCTCTTTAGATTAGAGCTGATATTTTAAAAGAAATTCAAAAAAAGAATTTAGAAACTTAATTTAAATAATGAGATTGTGTAGAATTATTAGATTGAATATATATATATATATTGATTTTGGTATCTTATTTAGATCAAATTCCTACTTTTGATTTAACATATTATTCAAAGCTTGGTTGTGTTAATAAACCAAGAGCTTATTTACTGATTTCAATTTCTTTGTTATATTCAGTAACAGTTCTATTGTAAAGATCAGTTTCTGAAGCATAATTATCATTTTCAGCTTATAATTAAGCTTAAAGAGTAGCTCTATCATCTTTTCTTTATCCAACATATACAATGGTTTCTCCTAATTTTTCTATTATATAAAATAAATATATATACATTCATTAGCAGCAATTTCAGAATTTTTAATAAGAACTGCTCTTTAGAATTCTGCAAATTCTTTTTCTAATTAAGCAACTCTTTCAGTGAATTTAGATTCAGCAGCACTTTCATCAGCAGTTTCTTGATTTAATGTGTCAACAAATTGAACTCTTAATTCATTGAAAATCTTAACCAATTATTAGACTGATCCTTAATCAGCAAAATTTTATTCAGTTGCTAATTCAAGTAAAGCTTTAATGATAGGAGCAAATGAAGAATGATTTTAGAAGGATGTTTAGATTCTTCCCAAGTTCGATTAAACTCTCTTGAATTAAACAAGTGATGGATTAGCAATCTAAGATAAGAGTCCTAAAGATTCATCAACAGCACCAATAGCTTCATTGATTTCAGCAATATTAGATAAGAATTATTCATGTTATTTCTTTCTATTAACTGTTTCTTAATCAAGTATTCTTCTATTTTCTTCAATATTGATTTTTAATTAAGCTAAAGCATCTTAGAATCTTTATTTTTATGGAATAAGAACATTATCAATGAAATCTTCACCATTGAATATATCTAATTATATTTAAAAAGAGATAACCTCTATCAGCATCTTAGATTTCTTATTCATATCTTGTTACATCTCTATTGTGTTCATCTGTTCTTCTGGAATAAGCTTGATGAATGTCATCTAATTCTTCTTCTAATTAATCAATTAATTAATTGATGGCTTCAACTAATTCTGTCAAAGCACCACCACTTCCCAATTCTACTTCTGCAAACTCCAAAATAAAAGAAGCCCATTTAGATTCTTTTAATTTACTCATAACTTCTTCTTAGTGTCTTTCCATATTTAGTTCAACACTCAATACACTTAATACTAAACAAACCAAGATTCCTGTTCTCATTTATTTTAATTAATAAAAACGACTATTCAAATTTAATGATTAAATGTAAATAATTAATATTATTTCAATTATCTCATAATCTATGTAAATATTCTCCTCCTTTTGTTAAATATCTAATCCATTTATTCGTTTTATATCCAGCTTTTTCCATTACTTTTAAAAATCTAACTCTTAATCCACTTGCTGTGAACATTGGAATCTAAAATTCCATTTTTAAAGGTGGTTTACTCCATACTTAATCTTTATTTGTAGTACCTAAATTGATTTCACACCTAAAATTTTTAACAATAAGTTAAACCTTAATGAAGTTTCAAAGTCTCCTTAAAATTTCTTGATTCTCCAAATCACACTTTATTCTTCTACTTCATATCTTGCTTTTCCTAATGCTGTTGCAGTTATTGCATTCACAGTATTTTTAGGCACAGGAACCTTTACTAAAACATTTGTACCATAGATATTGTTATCATATATTGATTTAATCTATTTTCAATATATATTTTACTTTCAACCGTATTTCTAATTTATTATCAATAATTTCACTATAAAATACATTCACTTTAAATGGAATATTAATATTCTCTGAAATCCTATATGATATTAATTAGCAATGGCCATCAGGAGGAATAAAAGTAATTGTTCTATCCTTATCAAATTTTGGTAATCTTACACAAGGATGAAATTTCATATCATCAATTGAAATTCCAATAGTTTATTTAGTTTATTTTTATTATTTTCCCATTAATAATTTATCATTCATTCCAATCTAACATTCTGGCATCCCTGTAAGTTTACTTTTTAATTCAATTGAACCAACAACTTCAGCCCTTAATACAGTGTCTTTTGCTGAAATCAATAAATTCACAGATTCAATAATATCAAGATATAATTCATTCTTTTCATAATAAAGTCCTATTGGTCTCCATGATACAACACCAGTAAGAGTAAATGTTAATTATCTCAATTTTTCTATGTTTATGGTTGTTTCTTATTAAACTCCTCCTTCTTGAATAAACTATAGATATAATTAATACTAACTTTTTATAATAGATTTGGATCTGCAATTTATGGTATTCCATAATCAAGTACTTCATCAAGAATTTCATAAATTAAGACAAAACTCTTTTTTATGCAATTTTCATCTAAATTACCTTAAAAGTATGATTTACAAATTTTTGACTTAAAATAAAAAAATATTAATACCAATTGATATAAAAATTCAAGAACCATAGCAACATTTACATCAGTTTTAGTGGTTGCTAAAATAATGATGTCTTTGATTGAAATATGAATGAAAGATGTTTCTATGAATATAAAATATAGATACAATCAATATTTATTATTGGAAATTCTTTATTTTCTTTTGTAGCTATCATTTTAGCACAAAACTAAGTTATTTCATTTCTGCTTATATCATCTTTATAAACTCTATAAATTAGGATTTCTCCTTTCTAATTGATAAAAGAGAGAGAACTTATCATTAAATATTATAATATTCATAATAAAACTTAATATTTATCTTCTTAATCATGTAAGAATTCATCATATTTGTTTGATTTTAAATAAATCAATTGAAACTTCATTTAAACAATCAGCTAATAAAAATTTTATATTATTAATTTAATAATAATAATAAATATTATATAATAAATCTTAAAATTTGATAATTTGTTTCATGAAGGAGAAATTTTCAGGGGTTCAAGAAATTTAAGAAGTGTTTTAAAATAGATACACTAATCCTTAATTAATAGGATTAGGAGCATTCTCTTAAGTTTATAAATGTGAAAATAATAACAAAGAATTTGTGGCAATCAAGGTATTTTTTCTACTTTTCTATAGATAGTTGCTTTGAATAGGATAGAGAAAGAGGTCATTCCGTACATGATAAATGAAATAGTCTTGCTATAGTCTAGTTAAAATAATAATATAATTTAATTAATTGAGGCATTTTAAACTCCGAATAGATTATATCTAGTATTAGAGGTATATTGAGAATATCATAATTTATTAGTATTGCTTTATAGATTTGGAGAAAATGACAAAAAAATATTATAGAAAGTGTTTACCTGATGATTTAGTAATAATTATATTACGGTAATTGGTTAATGGATTACATCATTTACATAAGAATAAGATCATTCATAGAGATATAAAATTGGCTAACATAGGAGTTAAATTATCTACAGATGATGAATAGAAATTGAAACAGATTAATGATCTAAGTGTCTTTAGGAATGCATAATACAAACTTTTGGATTTAGGTTTGGCTAAAAAATTAATTAATGAGGATCTCACTAATACATTTGCTGGAACTGAATTAAATATGGGTATTTAAATTTATTAATAAATAATAGCTCCTGAAATTCTATTAAGGTAACCATATTCAATAAGTGCTGATATGTATAGTTTGGGAGTTTCTATATTTTAATTAATAACTGGAGAGATGCCATATAAAATTGTTAGAGGTTCTTTAGAGATTGTAAAATATGAGACAGCCAATTTTCATTTAATAAAAAATGAAACATTAAGGACAATTGTTTAAAAAATGTTAAAATATGATCCAAAAGATAGATTAAGTTGGCCAGAACTTTACAAAAATTAATTTTTTAATATAAAGAGAGGTTAAACTTAATCAATATTGGATTTGTAATTAAAAAATAATCAAATTATTTATAATTCAATAGAAAATGAAAATAGAGAAATTGAAGAAGAGAAATTCTATGATTGTGAAAATGATGAATAAATAAAATAAGATAAAATTAATCTTTTATCTTAATTAAATAATTCATTTACTTCTTAATATGTATGCAAGATTTAAATGAATTAATAACAAATTACAAAAATAAAGTATTGGAATTAACTTTATAATATTCATATTCTTTTGAATAAATTAAGTAGCAATATTATTATACTAATAAATTCAATTAATTATATGGCAAATGATCTAATGTATTATAGTTTAAACTCTGAATTTAATAGTTATATTAATTATCTTTGTGATCTTAATCAATAAACTTATAACTATTTGAAATTAGACATAAATAATAATTTTTCTGAATATAACACTTTTTAAGATTATATTACTTTAAAAAATATTTTAGAATCTGATGAAGTGTAATTAAATATTTAAGAAAATAGATAAAATGAAATAATGTTATTTAGTGATATATGTTGTTTTGCTAGAAAATAATTTAAATTATTGAAATCTTTGGATTTGAAAGTATTCCCATTTAAATCTGAAGAATTTTAATAATAAACTATCAATAACAATATTCTAATTTATAATTAAATCTTAGGTATCATGTATGATTCTCATTACAAAATATGTGAGAATAATTCTTAATAGTTTAAATTGATATAGAGTTAAATATATAGGATTTTAATTGATTTAGCTAGAGTTAGAGCTATGTTTGGAATTGATTGGTAGGGAGGAGATCAAAAAATAAATGAATTGCGTCTTGAAGACTATCAAATTGAACCTGATTTACTGTCAGAATTCTTGACTGAAATCTTATAATTCTATTAACTGAGATATGATTAATGAAATAATAGAAATCTAATTTTTCTATTAATTATAATTATTAATATTATGGCAACAAAGTAAAAACCAATAATCATAGAATCAGGATATGCTTACACCAAGACATATATTGCAAATCTTAAATGTTAGGATAACAGCTCATACGTTTTGGGATACATTAATTATGATACTCCATAATAATAAACATGTGCTGTGAAAATTAATGATTTAAATTAAGAGGTAATAGACAATTTATTAAAAATAGGAAACTAGAAGTACTGCTTAGAGGGAGAAGGACGTACTGATGAGAGTATCTCATAAGAATATTGCCTAAACATACAAAATTATAGAGAAAGATGATAAGATGTACATCTTTAAGGAATATGATGAATAAATAACTTTAAAAACTATTCTTACAAAATTTAAGAACTCATCAGTTGATGAAAGTATGAAATTAGAAAATAAATAATAGGGGATGTATTAAATTTAGCAATTTAATTAATCCATTGTCTTAATTACATGGAATCATAGTCTTTGACTAATAGAGATTTGAATCCTGCAAATATTTTGTTTAATAAAGAAAAAGTATACAAAATCTTTGATTTCGGATCATCGAAAATTATAGAAGATGATAACAAACAAATATTACAATCTATGGCTGTTGGTTTTAATGAGGTATTAAATTTAATAAGATTTATAGTTTTTTATGAGTCCTTAAATGTTGGGAATTGATGATTAAGAAATTAATTATTACAAAAGTGATATTTGGAGTTTGGGAATGATTTTATATTATTTTGGTGAAAATTAATATCCATGGAGAAAAGATATTTAAAATAATAATTTAGATGAAGAAATTGAAAAGATGAAGGATCGTCCACTTGTATTCTAAAGAATCAAAAATACTCAATTATAAAATTTGATTAGAAAAATGCTTACTTATGAATAAGATAAGAGACCATATGCTAAATAATTAATTGAAGATAAGTACATTTAAAGTTAATTAGCATAATAAAATCCATAAGTATAATTGATTTTCAATAATAATTTAGGAAGCAAAATTAGAATTATTAAGTGGGGTGGTTTAGAAATTAAATGGAATGAGAAAAAAATATGAACTTGATGAAACATATGAAGAATTAATTTTCAATCTTATAATAAGATTTTTTACTGAAAATAAGAAATTTATAAATAAGGGATCTTAAATTTATTAATCTTATCATAACTTATTGGATTATCAAATGTTTAATAAAAAAGAATTATGGTTGAATTTTAAGATTTAATACAACACTAAGAGATAGCTAATGAATTATGTTTATGAATATAAAAGACAATTAAAGTTAAATTCTTATTAATAATAAGAATTATTACTATTATTATAGACTATTGATTGTTAAAAGACATTCCCTGATAATACATAATAATTGATTGAAATAGTTGAAAAACAATATTTAGTAGATTGAAACATATATATAAATCAAATATAAAATACATATTAATTATTCATAATTTGATATAATTTTCTTAAATAAATAAAATTTGACATCTTTAAATGAGCAATGCATTTAAATAAGCTGGAAACACTCTCTCAAAGGGTAATGATTTAGGATAGACTGGATAGAGTTTTGCAGGATCTCAAAATCCAGCATCCTTAAAAGGAAAGTTAATGAGTTTAGAAGTAATGAAACTGATACAATAAATTATAATAGGAGACAATAAAAGGCATTTAAGATGAGATGAATTTTCATAAGAAAGAAGTTTAAATATTAAAATCAGAGAAAGACACTCTAGAATCTGTTTTAAGTATGAAAACATAAGATGTCAAAAAAACATTAACTAATGAATTAATGAGAATAGAAGAAGAAATGAAACGGTATTCTAATATCATAAAGTAGACATTTTGCCCATTAAAAAGCAGAGAATTCTAGATTATAATAATAAATTACTGCTCTCAAAGGAGAAAAAACAGCTCTTCAATAATAATTACTTGGACTTTAAAGAAGAATTGCAGAATTAGAACTCCAAGTTGGATAAGAGTAGGCATGATTATTTGTCATTATCAATATATATATATATACATTTTTATTATCTATATATATATATATATTATGTAATAATATATATATATATTTATATATTAATATTTATATCATAATATCAATATCTAAAATTCTTATCAATTTAGATACAAGCATCTTCTAATAGTTTTAACAATGCTTCAGTTGTGCTTTCTCTTTCTCTTCTCTCAAAATTGATGTCTTATTATAATTTACCATGCACATCTTCTATCATTCTAAAGATCTTTCCTTAAGTTTCTTCTCTAACTTTCTTTTCAATCAACAATTGATCTGAGAACTTATTAATATCTTAATCAATTTGTTCACTCAAACTTTCTGATGATTCTTCTCTAAATATATATCAAACAGAAATCAAATACCTTTATCTTCTCTCTTAATCTAATTAATTTTTAACCAATTAAATTTATTAAAGTACTTCTGCAATCTTAACTTAACTTCTATCTTCATATTAATGAGTATTTCTAGTTATTGTCAATGTAATCTAAGTAAATCGTTCATCAATTTATTTTTACAATTTAGTTTCTCCTTAACCTCTAATATTCCTTTCCTAATCAAATGATAATGCTATATTATCTGAAAGAGTTCTAAAATCTCTCTCTTTTTTATCATCAAAAGCCTAAAGATAAATTAAATTGTTAATACTTCTCTTTCTGCTTTATGATTATGAGAATAATCTTATAATTTAAGGACTGAATCCTTCAATACCTTGAATCTTTATTCGTCTTTTGGTTTTTCAGATGACAGAACATCTTCAATTATTTTTATTCTTTCCTCTAAGACTTCTCTCTTCTCCAATTTATCTTTATCTATTCCATTTTAAATATGATTCCATTTATCAGAAAGTAGCTTAATTCTTTATCTAGAAGGTGAATCAAGATCTTAACTTAAATAATTAACTGTTGATCTTTATGGACTAGATAATTGTGATCTTTGAAGTTTTGAAGTTGATAACTTAGAAGTTGATAACTTAGAAGTTGATAACTTAGAAGTTGACAATAACATTCAATGATATTTTGTAAAATAAATTTATTTCTATATATATCAAATATTTTATTACTTATCCTAATTATTTTTTATATTATAAAAGTATAATATATTGAATTACCTTTAAAATAAAGAATCAATTTTTATGTATCAATTATATTAATGATTATTATTATTAATAATAATAAAGAACTAAAACATGTGCAATTATATGATTCTAGTAAAATTATTAGTTATATATTAAGTAAGGTTTACCTTAAAAATAAAAGAATTTATTTGATTCATCTTTTTAATATATAAATTATTTAATAAATTAGTATTAAATATAATATATATTTTACATCATTATACAGAATAATAAATTAAAGTATTACAATAAATTCAAATGTATTATAAATCATTATTTTATTATGTTCTTTAAACAACCTTTAATGCAGTCTCTTGCAAATGGAATATAACTGGCCACATACCATGTATATGAACAGAATTCAATCACTAAAAATATCAAAACAAGAAGTTTTGATTTAAATAAATAAACTGATAGAAATATCATTACTAAAGAAGAAGCAAAGATAATGGATGTCATTTTTCTTTCTTTGTCAATCATATTTTCAAATTATTTCTTAAATCCTATAAGAAAGGCTGTTCTATAAATAATTAGTATTCAAGATTACCCAAATAATGCTAAAATATTTCCTAAACTATAAGTAAGTGCAAATTTATTTGGACTACCACCCAAAATTCCAATAAAAGATCCAAAACTTAATATTTAGATAAAATATCCTTATAAATATGAAATATATTTCTTACCTAAAACAGAACAAAATGCAAATCCCATTAATCTTTCCTTATATGAAAGTGATGGAAAGAGACTTTCATTTTCATTTTTTGGTTTCATAGGTCCACTAATATCAAATATCTGCATCATTTTAATTTATGTAAATTAATAATAAAATTTTAATAAAAACAGGATGCTCTTCATCTTATAAATCAATATTCATTCTCAAATGGTTGAAAATTCATTATAGTAACCTTTTAAGAATATTTAATATTGAAAACATATAAGACTATTATATATTAATTATATAAATAACTTAAAATTCTAATAAATGATAAATCAATTTGTGAAATATCTTAGATATTAATTAGAAATATATAATATTTTATTAAAGATAATTAATTATTAATGAGTAAATAATAAAATATCATCTTATTTTAGAGGGTATTAAAAGTGTTTATGATAATTGTGATTCTTCCTTCTTAGGAAATATATTCCAAAATCTTAATGTTTCATCTCCAGCTCCAGTTACAATAGTTTCTCCATCAGGTGACATTGCTAAGAACAAAACTCTTGAAGTGTGACCAATTAATGTGGATACCTAATTTCAATTTCAATTTATACTTTTTCTAATGTAGGATACTTCCAACATATTATTTAATTCATACTATATCCATGTGTAGATATAAATTCATTTATAGTTTTACTAAAAAGTAAATTACAAACTTATGAGCCTGTATCAATCCAATCTAGTTATTCTGTTGTTGATGTATTGAAGAATCTTATAGCTCTATCTGCTGTCCCACCACCAGAACATAATAAACCATGTTTATGAGGAGACCATGCTATAGCTTTGACTGCTGCTTGATGTTAATTAAATTTAATTATTGGTACTTATGAACCTAATCTCCATACAAGTAATTTATTATCATTTCCTCCAGAAGCAAATTAATACTCATCAGGAGACCATTTCAAACCACATACTTCTTATTTATGACCTTCTAATTTCCCTATAATTTTCTATTATCTTAAATCATAAAGTTAAATTGATTTATCTTTTGATCCTGAACATAATGTCTATTAATATTTATATCTTTAATATTTACTTATCCAGCCCATGCTAAAGATCCAACTCTAGATGTATGTCCTTATAATGTTGAGATTCTTTTCATTTTCTATTGATCATATATTTAGATTGAACCTGATTCAGTACCTATGGCTAATTAATTACCTTATGGTGCCCAAGTCAAAGAACAAACAATATCAGTATTTCTAAAATCACAAAATTTTGTAACTTTATTATTTATTGCTGACCATAAATACACGCTTGATTAAAGAGCAACTGATAGTATATTCTATGAACTCCAATCAATTAGATTTAAATAAAAATCATCTTATAATTGAGGTGCATCCAAAACTTTAATAGGGTTAATATTAATTTTCCTATGATGTTATTTATAGTTTGAATCATTTTAAAGAGATTCTTATAATTCCATTAAATTATTATAGGTTAATAAAAGTGAAGAATTGAGTTATTTCTTTTATTTTCTGATATCATAATGAAAAAGGTTCTTAGATTTCCAATTAAAATTATGAATCTAATTATCTAATTGTTAATCAAATAATTAATATTTATAAATCTCTTTAAAACCTAATTAATCTATTTGTAAGTCTCCTTTCTTCTTTAATTCAGTATTTTCATCTATTTATCTATATTGATAATCTTCAGAGAGTGATTATTTAATACCACTTCTTAAGGGTATGTATCGACAAGTCTTAGCTTAAAGAGTGACAATCTATTTATCTTTAGGTTTTTCTTCAATGTTTGCTTCTAATTTTTGAATGTATGTTAATTACCATTAATCTCAAAAGTATTTAAATTTTTTAGTTATTCATTCATGTCATTTTGTTTAATTTATGTATTAAGTGCATTTTCTTTATTGCACTTTGAAGAGATAAAGAGGAGTTTATCTTCAAATTAAGACACATCAATTTCAGCATTCTTTTATTATAGCATTTCTACTTAGTATTTACAAACAGATAATATAATAATATTAATTAACTTAAAATAAAATTATATATATATTGAATGAAATAGATTTTATTTATTAATACTTCTTTTTCAATACTATATATTTCTAATGAGTTTCACTTCTCTTAAAATTAGAATAACTATTTATATTGTTTCAATTTAATGGAAAATTTATAGGTATATTTATAATAATATAATAAATAAAATTGTTTAAGTTAATTTTTATTTTTTATCAAATGATCCATGAAAATATTGAATTATTATTTATTAATATTATAAATAACTCAAAATAATCAAAATGGTTTCCATTTATTCTTTTCATAACAAGATCTAATAATTTAACCATCTTTCAATAGACACATTATTTTGTTAGAATAGTAAATGGGTTGTGTTAAAAAATGTGCTTATTATGGTATTGGATGTTATAATTAATAATATAATTTTGGTTAGAATTCTAAAGTAATAATATATTAAAATACTTATCTAATCTTAATCAAATTCTTCTTCTTCTTCAATTTGAATCATAAATCCTTGATTAACAGTTTAAAATGATTATTTTTATAGTATTTAACCACCAAATATATATATCATATTAGAATTAAGAATTTAAATAGATGTAGATAAAATAGTATGTAATGGATATTATGTATGATTAGTAGTGTTTTCTACTCTTTCCCAACAATCTTATTCAATAAAATATAATTCTAATAAGCCTGAACATTATTTTTTTAAATCTTCTCCTTCAGTATTAGCAATTAAACCACCAAATTTAACAATTAATTTATTATTATATGTACATGATGAATGTAAAGTTGATAATTCTGTTAAATGACTAATAATTATAAATTAAATTATACTTAATTAATGTAATTTGATTAGTATTTATATTGTATTTTTCACATTTAGCTAAACAACCTTCTTTATAATTTTAACCTCCAATAATAAATATATCTTTATCTACTGTACAAGATAATGAAAAATTCTTTCTTAGAGTATACATTCTTGTCTTTTTAATGAATGTTAATTATGGATGATCATATTAATATATAGTTTTATTTTCATCATCATTTTAACCATTATCATATCCTGAAAAATAATATATTTAACCATCTGAAGCCAAAATAGATCTACTACCTTAAGATATAAGAAAATTGATTTCAAGTTCAACTTTTGTTATTTATGGATTTTATTGTTTTAAATCTAAATAATACAAAAATTTAGTTCCAGGTTCAAAATAATGTAACCATGATCGATAAAATGAATATTCTTAAGTACCTTACATTGTATTTTTCATTTCATCTAATTTTTCAGGAGCATAACTTAAAAACTTTTAGAAATTCTTTATAGATTTCTATTTAGTTTATTATGCCTATATAGTTCTTTAATTAAGACTCTCTATTTATGAACTTAATTTATTTTTTTCATATATAACTAATTATTCTAATTCTTTCTAAATCACTCCAATAAAATGTAAGGCTACATCATCATCTATTCTACCATAAAACTTTTAATTAGCTCTTTAATATATAAGTGATTCCAATCTATTCTTTTAATATTACACTTAATAATCTAAATCTGTTGACATTACTTTTTTTTAAGTATCAATTGAATTGATATCATTTTAAAATTGTCTAACCTATGTTAATTAACCTTGAATTTAATCATATAAAGCATGAATACTCTATTTTACTTTATATTCAAATTTATCTCTTAATCCTTGGATATATTTATCAAATAATTTATGAATCTATTATCTTATTGATTCTATTTCTAAAATGATTTCATCAATATTGCTATTAACTGATGTTATTAATGCATTTGCTGCTCTATTTTCTGCTAATTCCAATTCTTCCTTAACAGTATTCAAATTCTTCTCTACCTATTATTTACATTCCTATATTGTTATTGTAAACTGCTTATTTGAATATATTTAATTTTTCTTATGTCTGCTTTCATGATTCACTATACAATCACTACATAATCTTTTATATTTAAAACAATCTGGATGTATACAACTATCTCTTATATATATAAATATACATATGAGTGATATCTTTCTAATGTAATTTACACTTATCCTCCATTTAAATAAATAAATTATAAAATTAATAAATATATATATATATATAATATCATTCATTTACTAAGTTATAAGAGTCAATTTTTTATTAAGAACAACTCTATTATAACTTATTTTTAACTGCCAATTGTTTTATAAAAGAACAGTAACCTGGACATTCTAATTCTTATAATTTGTTCCATGTACAAAATGATAAATTGCTTTTATTCTTTTATTTCTCTTATATTTATTCAATATTCTCCATATATTTCTATTAATCATCACTATTATGTAAATATTTATTATTGACTTTAGATTTACTCATACTTGTTGAACAATTTCTAACAAAGAATAATTTCATATATTTATCCTTTGTGTCTAAGACTTCTTTTTTCTTTCTTGCATCTGCAGATGTTGTAAAATTGAACTAATGTGGATACTTATTCAATAATTCTTTAACTGCCACCTCTTATATTTAATTCAATTATCTTTAAGATTCTCTTGAACCTTTTTAAACATCCTCTTTTGATTATGCCAATAATCTTATTTCAAAAAATTTATTTATTTTAGATGAATTCATTAATGTAATAGGTTCTTTTGGAATCTTTTCAAAGAATTCATTAGGTTGCTTTTTCAATTTCTCTAATTTTTATAAAATTCGATCATCCCACATTGTATCTGTTGTTTGTAATATTTATTAATCATGTTTCTCATTTCTTTATAAGTCCTATATGAATTTTACTTCAGGTTTTTTTATGTTTCTTCTTATATGCTTATTGATCAATACTTTCTAGTTGCTAAAGGCCTCTGATTTATTTCATCCTAACTTTGTGAATGCTTCTGTAAACCTGAGAGAATATGTTTGAATTCTATTCTCTGTAACGGAACTGGTATTCTTTAATTGTAATAATACATTACAATAATAAAAAATTATTATAATGATCATTTATTCCTTTAATAATAATTGTAATAAAATTTAATTAAATTAAACTTAAATAAAAATACTCTATAAATCTTCAAATTTTATAGACTTATCAATACTTAAATATTATTATCATTTAATAATTCATTCTAATAAGTTATTAATGAATTATATTTATATATATAATTTTAATCTTCATAAATAATATACTAATTCTTATAATTATTAAATATCATTTATTTCATTTCTTATATCAATATATGAATTCATTTTACATATTGTATATAATTTTAATTTCAGATATCTGATTTCAAATTCTAACATTAATCAATATTAATGATTTTTACAATTATAAATTTTCATTAAATCATCATTAAAAGTATTTAATTATATATATTTATATATAAGTAATTTATAAAAAGTATACATAATCTATTTTTTATACAATATTTTATTGATTAATGTTCTTTATAGTTTTATTAGTGGTTCTAGTATTCTAGATTTAAGCTGATAAATTGATTCAAATTTAAGCATTATGGAGACATGGTGCTAGAACACCAATCTATTGTAATTGGAATTGTATGTATTTCAGAAGTCACGAAATGCTTGAGGGTTACTTAACACCTACTGGAATGAGGTAACATTATGTTTTAGGACAATGGATGAGAGAGAGATACATTGTAAAAAACAAATTATTGAGTGAAACTTTTAATGCATCAGAAATAACAATTTATGCTACAGATGTAAATCGTACAATAATGAGTGCAATGAGTAATTTCTAAGGAATGTATTCAAATAATGGTCCAATTGTTCCTAATGTAGAAGAGTCATTCCTTAAACCACCTAATCCTAATGCTAATCCAGATGCTGATATTGGAAAAGATGCAATTAAGTATAAGATATAAGTTCTTCCAATTCATATGAGAGCTGCTCTTACTGATATTCAATTAAGAGCTTATGGATCACCTTAATGTGCATAAGCTGCCAGATTTTAGATTGAGAATCAACATACAGAACTTGTAAAAAATGTAAGTATCAAAGCACATGATACAATAATTGAATTTTGTAATGAAATGAATATAGATCCAAATAATTTTACAATCTTCAATTTATCTGAATACATGGATACATTCTATTCAAGTATTTATAATGATTATCCTATGCCTACTAATTTAAAAAAAGAAACCTATGATAAAGCAGATGCTACATATTCATTAACAATTGCATTGAAATTATATTAGACTTGGAAGTATATACACATATATATATTTTTTAGATAAATTTCAACTCAATCAGCTCCATTCTTTGATCAATTCTTTGAGTATACAGAATAAGCATTAAGTAAAGATGAAAATAAAAAATCATTTAAATATGTTGTATATTCAGCTCATGATGTGACAGTTTAATTAATAGCATCTGCATTGAATATTACATCTGCAGAATGTATGGCTCAAGTTTATCTTGGTTAGGAAGTACAGAATAAGAATTGTATCTATACATATCCAGGATTTGCTTCAAATATTATTTGGGAATTGTGGTAAGAAGACACTACAAATGAACCATATTTTAAAATACTTTATAATGGTACAGAGATCAATTTGTGTAATAAGAATTCAACAAAATGTATGTATAAGGAATTAAAGGAAATAATCTAAGCTTAGAAGGGTGACTTTTAGAAAGATTGTGATATTGAGATAGATCCTATTGTATAATATTAAAATATCTTATTAGGTAGAATATAGAGTACCTGTTTGGATGACTACACTTACTATAATTTTTATTCTCATGATTGTTGGATTTTGTTTCTATGGCATATATTTGTATAAATAGATAAGATAGGATAAAACTTTATTAAGTCAAAATATGTGAGATTTAATATGAAATATATAAATATAATGAAGAGATTCTATTTTCCCACTAAAAATTAACTATATATTAAATTATTTATGATGAAAACAACACAAACACCACTCAATAAAGAAGAATAAAGGCGTTTAAATTAAATAGTTCAATAATTATTAGATTCAAATGATAGTGTGGAATTCAGACAACCTGTGGATTACAAAGCATTAAATTTACATGATTATATTACTATTGTTAAAAAACCTATGGATCTTGGCACTGTCTAAAGGAAATTAAATAGCAATATATATAAAACAGTAGAGGAATGTTTGGATGATATCTAATTGATTTGGGATAATTGCAAATTGTATAATGGTTCATAAAGTGTATATATTATTACAAATAATAAAGTGGATTACTAAGTTAGCAGAAAAATTAGAGAGATTATTTAAGAAAAATGTTAGAAACTATTTACCACTTGTTAATCTACCATAATTAGTGCCTAAATAAAAAGATGCAGGAGCAGATGTATTCTAAGAAGAACCTTAAGATTAAGTGAGTTACAATGACAAAGTTGAATTTTCTAATAATCTAAAATAATTGGCTCCTGAATAAATTGGACTTATTGTACATATGATTTAAAATACATCTCCTAATGCATTCATTGAGATAGAAGGAGAGAAATATTAAATCATTGTAGATTACATAGAATATGAAGCATTTATTAAATGTTAAAAGTAAATACAAACTTGGATTGCAGGAGATACAATCAATAAGAAAGTGAAAATTTGACATATATTATATATATATAATTAAATATTTAAAATGAAATACATAACAACATATATAATCATTTCCAAATTACTAAATTGCCACGAGTATCTGCAGAATACATTTGTCCAGATACTGGATGAAATGATACACATAGAACAACTCCTTCATGTTGACCCTTTGTTAATTACTTATGAAATCTACCATTAATATTCCAAGAAATCAGACTGCTATCAGCTATATAATATAAAATAAATAATAATACAATTTCCAGCAATAATATACTTCTCATCTGGTCCAAATGAAATCATATTATGATCATGACTATTCATATATTTATCATGTTCATAAGTCTTCAATAATTTATTCATTCTCAAATCATAAGACTTAATATAGTATCCTTCCTTTGAACAACATAACAATGTATGATTATCTTATGAAATACATAAAGATGTAACTGAATCATCAAAAAAGGATTTCTCTTAAAAAATAGGTTTTGGATCACTTTTTAATGAATATCCTCTAATTGATCCATCTCTATGTCCTGAAATAATAACAGGTACATTATGTTCACTAATTATTGATAATACTTAACTCCCAGTTGATAAAGTTCTAGTACAAAATGCATTATTAATATTCCATAACTTTATTTATCTATCTTTAGATCCAGAAACACAAGAATCTTTATCTCCACCTAAAAATGTTGAACAAGTAACTTAATCAACGTGTCCAATTCCTCTCATTTTCTACTTCCATTATTACATATAAAATAATTAACAAGAATTATCTGTTGAAGATACTAGAATACAATCTTAAGACGGTGAAAATTCAATACTAGTAAAAACTTCATCAGAAGATGTCTAATATTATGAAACCTAAGTTAAATTAAATGGATCATATAATCTAATTGTTCTATCTCCTCCACAAGTAGCAACCAAAGTACCATTTAAATTTTATGCAATAGCATAAATTTCTACATTATGAAACTTATTTAACCTTCTTACAACCATTTAAGGTATATCATCTAAGAATGCATTCTTTGCTAATTATTATTCTGTTGCCAAAGGAGCTAAAGTTTAAAATTTACCTTAAGTCTAAATATCTTTATATTATTTATTAAATCTATCTTAATCCTATTCTAATACTCTTTTTTATCTTTATACACTTTCATTCAATTCATTTATTTCATTTAATTATTCTAAAATTTTCATCTTTTCTCTCAACATCATTTCTTCTAATTAACTTCTCACAATTGTTAATTATTCAATTTCTACAATTAATTTATCTCTGCTCTCAACTATTTCTCTTATATCTTTATTCTTTTGTTCTAGAATGTCTTCAAGTTTTTAAATCTTATTTTATGATTCTACTTTTTCAACTTCTAAATTCTTTATACATTATTATTATAATTCACTCTATTCTTTCAAATGTCTTAATTATTTAGATGTTTCTTAAACTTCTGTATACAAATCTCTATTTTATCTTTCCAACTCTTCATTCCTCATTTATAACTCAATCAACTCTTTTGGTTAAACTCCACACTCTTACATTCCTTCAATTTTTAAATAAAGCCTATTCTACTCTTAATAAAATTCAATAGCCTTTTCATTCTGTTTATAATAATCTTCCATAAGTCTCTAAGTGATAGGCTTATTAAACAATTATGATAATCGCTTAATATCTTCTGTTCTATATTATTCAATTAAATCAATCATTATTTTTAAAGATAATATAAAAAATTTATATAATATTTATATTAATTACAAAAATAAATATAATATTTCTCATTTTTTAGAATATCATTTTTAATTATATTCTTTTTCTTATTATTCTTATATTTAACCTTATATTTAATTCTTAGCTTCGATTAATTACTTTTTTTATTCACTAAGATTTAATATATTTTGTTAATTTTCTTCTAATTATTTTAATTCTTTTTCTAGATTTGCAATTTCCACTCTTAAGTATTCTGCTTATTTATTCACATTATTCTAAGATCTGAGTTTAGTTTTTATTTAATTAATTAATTCTTTATTGGTTTTTATTTCTACTTCCATATCTTATAATTATTTTAACTGAATATTAATATCTTGAATTTCTTTTAATTATTCCTCTAATTTTTATGGATTTTATGATAATTTTTTAATTTCTGTGCCAATTTATTGTATGATTTTCTCATTCTTCTGCATTTCAGACTTCAAAAGATCTAAATATTTTAATTTCACTTTTAATTCCAATATTTCCTCCTTTTATTTATTCATCTCATTTTCTAAATTTGCTTATGTTGAGATCTATTAGTTTAAATCTTCAATTGTTATTTGTTACTTTAGTATTTAATTTTGTAAGTATTTAAATGTATTTTCTTGTTATTCTAATTTGATAATCTTTAAATAATTATTTTCAAATTCCTTCTAAAGAGGCTCGATTTTTTTTGGACTTAAATTTAGATTTTAAAGATAATTTAACTCTTCTTCTAAAATTTTTTGTTTTATCATATCTTATTGTTTAATTTTTAATTGATCAACCTATTTTTAGATTTTTTAATAATTTTCTTTTGTATTATCTACCTTCTAAATATTATTTTTGAGTATTTCTAATTCTTCATTTATTATTTATAATTTCTAATTTAGAACTTGCTCTTCTTAAATTGAAATACATTTTTCCTCAAATTCTTAAAATCTTTTCTTTATTTCATCTAACTTTTATTAAACAAAAGGAGAAAATTCTTTTTATTTTTTTTATTATTTTTCTAAGTTAATATCAATAATATTCATAGGTTATACAAAATTATTATTATTTTCTAATTAGTTTTATATTTTAAATATAGTTTCTTTTAAAGATACTAATAATTTAATTGATTATTCTTTTTATTATAATAAATCATTTAAATTATTAGGTTAATTTAAGGCTGATATCAGTTAATTAATTTATAGAACCAGAGAAAATTATTGTTATTACACTTAGATTTATTAAATTTCTTAATTGAATTATTTGGTTTAAGATTATGGAAATTGATTTTTTAAAGTATTTGGAAATTATTGTTATGCAACAACATTAGGATTAGGTTATTAAAATTTTGTAATTATCATAGCAGAGGATTTTTTTGTTAATATTTCCATTACTTCCTAAAGAGAAACCCTTAAACTTGGTTATGGATGAAGCATTCTTTTCATAGTTTATTTCCATTCATTAGATATAATCAATTTTTCTATTTAATCTTAAATAAAGGATTGATTTTACTAAAGTTTTTTTAAATCATTACTATTAGTGCCTAGTTAAATAATAATTTTTTATACTTTAAAATAAAGTTGTTCCATTCAAAATAAAATAAAAAACACAAGCTAATTACCAAACATCAGTTGCTGTTGTATATTCTGATCTATTTAAGAAAAATTCTGGTGATTAAAAAATGTTATAATATAATTACTCTTCTTTATCATATTTTAAATAATATCTTTCTTTTTGGGTCAAACCAAAATCAATTAATTTGACTGATAATCCACTCATATAATAATGATCTAATCTAATATCTCTATGAACCAGATCTAATGAGTGCAAGAATGTTATAGATTATAATAACTAATAATCAATATTAATTTTACCTATAAACAAATTAATTGTTTTTATTAAATTGCCATTGTATTTTGATTATTCTTCAAATATGTGCTTAAACTAGTATATACTATTTCCATAACTATAACTTTATATTCTTAATAATCAAACCAATCAAATATTCTAATAAAATTTTAAGAATTAACATTTTCGTTATTCTAATAATCAATTACTTGTTAGTATAATTATTTAACTTCATCTTTTATAAATTTTTGAAAATTTAAAGCAATTTTATTTTAAACTACACCCCACTAAACAGCTGTGGCTTAATAAACAGGACCTAATTAACCCTATCCTATACGACCTTCTAATATAAACTATCTCTTAGGATATTATGTTGTAGGTGCATCTATTATAGTATTTTCACTTAATTCTTTTAGCTAATTCTATTAATACATTAATTAATTAATAAATAAAAAAATATGCATAATTTCATACAAATTTTGATGAAAAAATGTTGACTCTATATTATTATTATTTTTTCCATAATTTTTTTATTGATATTTCAATATAGAAAAATTACATACATTTAAAATTAAATTGATCATATAGAATATTACATATCTCTATTAAAATATCATTTCTTTAATATTATTTATATAAAATTGTTTTATTGGAAGTATTTCCATTAAAGTTTGTTTTTATATAAAAATGTTTTGATTAGAAAGTATTTGTTATTAATCTACTAAAAAATTGAAAGTCAAGATATATTTATATTCTTTTGTTTATCAACTTAAAATATGAAATTCATAAGCTTTATCAAAATTAATAATATATGGTTATAGAATTGTATTTTACAATATACAGAATTATTAATATAGAAAATAAGTTGAATATAAGGACATAAAAATATAGTGAGATTAATGCAATTGATATTTTGTCTATATGTTTAGAGGGATAGCTGAAAATAAATTGAGATTCTACCAAGACGAATTTCCAAAAAGTAAATAAAATCTATTATATTTAAATGATATCCTCTATTCAATATAAGATAAAGATTGTTTGAAATTAGCATCAATTAAGGATCATATTAACAAAATGAGTATTTCAGTAATAAAATATAGATAATATTAGTATAGACTCTATTTATCGAAATAATTCATTTAAAATACATCTCATAATAATTTTCTCTTAGTGATTTATCAATAATTCTTTTCCTTTAATATACTAATTATACTTAAAGATAAAAATAAAATAAAATCAATAAATAGATTGTTTATTTAACCAAATAGGATTTTATTATTAAAAAAATAAAAATTTATAATCTCAATTATGGTATTATTAAGAATAAAATAATGATAATATTAATATGAGAAACAGTGTAAATCTAATCCAAAGAGATACTTTATGAGATTTTGAATTTTACTATATTTTTATATAATTAGATTGATGTTAACAGAATATTAATTAAAATTTCAAATTTATGATCCCTTATCCTCATATTATTCAACCAACTATAAAGTCAGCAAATTAGAGTAGTGGATTTAAAGAGGGTGAAGAGAAATTTCAACATTCAACACCTAAATACGTGTTAAAAGTTCCAATTCCTTCATTACCTACATTACAATAGGCACCTTAATCAGATAACAAAAGTAAATCAGGACATAAGGAGAATAATTTCAGTGCTATGACATTCGATTAGAAGTATTAATTGACAATTCAAAAAGAAAATGGAATCCAGATAGCCAAGGTTCAGATAATAAGTGTGTATTATCTTAATCAGCCAAGAAAGTCAACACTGAAAATGATGATGGCTCAAGTATTGTTGAAAAGTCTTTTACAGAAGCAGCCTAAAAGATATTGAAGATAAAAAATCTTGAATTAGAAAATAAGGTTTCATTACTTATAATTGAAAATGAGCGTCTAACAACATTTCTTAATGATTAATTTCAAGAAAATGAAAAATTAACAAATGATTTACAAAACTATTAAGTTAGTCTCTAAGATTTATCTAAAAACTATGAAGATAAATTAAATATAGTCTTGTTGGAAAATGAGAAGATTGTAGCAATTAATTAAACTTTAACTATGAAAAATGAATAGATGCAAAATCAAATAAAAAGATTGTTGAGTGAGAAAGATGAAGAAATCAATAACAATAGAAAAGAATGGGCAGGGAAATACTAATAATAAATAAATTAAATTGATGAGATGAGAAAAAGTGAAATAAATTAAATAGATAATCGAATAGATAAATTACAATTTGAAAAATCAGAATTGCAAATATTAATTTAAGAATAACAATAAAAATTGATGGAATTCTAGATTGAACTCAAAGTTAGAGATCATACTTTAATTGATTATGAAAATGTTAAAGCAGATTTAGCATCTAAAATTCATAAAATAGAAATGATGAGTTAAACTATATTAGCTTAAGAAAAGAGAATAAATGATTTAGAAGCTAGATTAGATATCATGGTAGCTGATAATAAATAATTGCATGATGTTAATGAATAATTAAATTAAACTTAAAGAATACTATAAGGAACTTTGGAAGATAGATAGATTGAATTTGATAGAGAATCTCATAAATAAAAAGATTTCTATGAATTGGAATTAAGGAATTTAAGTAACAAAAATAAATAGTTAATTGAAGAAATCAAACTTAAACATTAAGAATAATTATAAACTTAAAGAATTTAAATAGAAAATGAATTGATTAAAGAATTAGAATAATATAAAATGGAATTAGAAACTAAACAAAATGAATTAAATAATAATTTATTAATTTGGTAAGAAAAAGAAAAGAATATAACATAAGAGAATAAGAAGGAATTAGAAATAAAAGATTAGATGATATCTATATTAAAATTCTCTAATTAAAGTTTACAAGAATAAATGAATTAATTATAAACATTAATTAATAAGTAAAATATTTATATTTATTAGAATGCAAGAAGACTTTGATAGTCAATTTAGTTAGAAAGAGACAGAGTGTGTTAAAATGGCCAAAAATATTCATCTTAAGGATTAGGCATAGAAATAAATGAGTTTAAGATTAGATGAAATTTGTAAATAAGTAAAGATATTGGAGGAATAAAGAGATGATTTGAGTTAAGAGATGAAAAATAAGAATGATAAGGTTAGAGATCTTGAAATGAAATTAGATATTGTTGTCAAAGATAATGATACATTAGAATATTAATTGAAGAATACTTAAACATAAGTAAAAATTGTAAAATTATTTAGTTATAATTATTGGAATAAAGATATATAAATTTAGAGTAGACAAGTGAATAGAAAATAGAAGATATTAAATTATCATATTCATTAGAAGTTTAAGCATAAATTGAATAATGTATTACTTAATATTAATAAACAATTAAATATGAATAAGATCATTCTGAATAAATAATGAAAAATTTAAAGAAATAATAAGAAAAAGCAAAACATTTTGAATTGTTAAGTGAATAATAATTAAATGATATTGAAAAATTGAATAAAAGAATAGAAGAATTAATAGATGTATGTGAATAAAATGGATCTAAAATGATGATATTAGAGAATCTACTTAAAGAAAGAGATAATGATTATGATGTCTTAAATCAGAAATTGTAATCTATAACTGAAAATTATGAATTGTATTTAATAAAATAATTCTTAGGTAAATAGATGTTTTGAAGAAATAGATGTATGATATGGGTATTTAAAATGAAGATTTAGCTTAAAATTTGAATTAAATTTAGGAAACATTTATAAGTATAAGTAATTATTTACTTTTAGAGTAAGATGAATAGAAAAAGAAAACTATGAATGATTTAGCAGAGGTTACTAAATAAAAGATTGATTAAGATTAATTAATAAAGAAGATGAGAATTCAAATTTAAGGATTAGATGAAGAAAATAGAAAAAATTCTGAAGATTCCAACAAATTCAAAAATTAGGTCTATTAGTTATAATAAGAAATTGAGGAGATTACTAGAAGTATGCAATTAAATTTTGCAGACAAAGAGTAGGAATTATAAAATAAATATGAGAATACTATTATGGATTTAACATAATAATTAAATAACTTAACTATTAGATTCAATGATTTAGTAAGAAAAGAGAAAGATAATAGATTCAGATTAAAATTATTGAAAAGTAATCCTTAAATGAAATTACCATCAGAATTAGAGGATGAAAATTGTTATGAAACTATGAAAAAGAAAATGGAAGATCAATCATAATATCTTTAAAGATTAATCTTAGAAAATGATGAATTAAAATAATAACAATATTCTCATATTAGTAAAGGCTCATTAAATGAGTAACAAAAGTAGAAATCTTAGAGATAAAGCATGAATATCATTAAAGATTATACTACTTAAGATACTGATCGTACTATTCGACAAAATGAATATCAGAAGAGCATGAATCCTTTCAAATAGCAGCCAGTAAAAGTGTTGCCAGTTATTATATTTATTATTATTAAGGTTATGAATAATTCTCAGAATATTCTTGAATAGAAATATGCAAGTAATAGGCCAATCGACAGAGACGTCTACTTGGGTTAAACATAAAATACAAGGACAGAACCTCATTTATATAGAAAATAATCATTATAACGATTTTGAATAAGAATATTATAAATATTGTTAAGATCCTCTATTTATTTTTCTTTATAGTAAATATGGGTATGTTATTAGTAAATCATAGTCATTCAATTCTTTCATTTATTCGAAATCGCACTTTTTTATGACCTTCATATAATTTAAAAGTGTATTCGGAAGCTAATTCACAAGAGCTTTTTGTAGGCGATAGACTCTTGGTTGATTGTTCAATCAAAGCACAAGTTCTTCTACTTAAGGGTTGTTCATTTTATAGGATATTCAGAGATTGAACTACTTAAATTGGTTATAATGAGGAAGTGTGATTTGTTGATTTATTACCCTCATTAGATGTGTTTGATTCTGAAATTAGTTGAAATGGAACTAATTTGAGGGTCTTTAAATTTCTGCTCTAATTTATTTAGCTTTTAGTTTTTGGAGAAAAAGTAACAAGTTCTCTGTACTTATTATGAAGATTTTGAAAGTCATCCTCATCTTGTATCACATTTAAGTTTGAATCCATTGATCAGTAACAATCTTTTATATCTGTGCAATTAATCTTAAATTATTTATAATCAAATGATATTTCAACGAATATAAATCTCGTATTAATAATTTTAGTCAAATTCATTGAATTATAATTTTGATTCTCTATTATTTGTTTATAAACAAATGGAGATATTTCAAATAATGATGATTGAATAAAATATTTTTAATTAAATAATTAATACAAATGGTGGATGCTAAACAATTGATACCCATGAAACGATTTTTGGAGAGTTATTAAGATAGAATCAAATTATTTTCAACTGATTAACCAGAGCAGATTCATATGTAAATATATAATCAGATTTCAAGTTATCATAATATTGGTCGTGTTACTAAAATAGAAACAAAATCCATATAAGAATAGAAATCCAATACATCTGTTGGATTCTTTGCCGTTTATGGAATAATGTAACTAAAGAATTGGTCATATTTATTATTGGTTACAGAAGCTAACATGGTTGGATAAATATTGCAAAGAACAATATTGTAAGTAGAATAGATAAGTTTTTTACCTTTAGTTCCAAATGGAAGATTGAATGAGTATTTCTATTTATTTAAGTTATAGCATCCATGCAAATGATTAGACATATTGTAAAATGTTAAAAGAAGTTTTTTCCACAAGAACATTATATTTTAGTTATGAATATGATTTGTCTAATCCATTTGATAAAATAATGGGCAATAACTCTCAATTTAGTACCTAATAAAAGACCAGTGGAGGAATCCACTATTATAAGATTCCAAACAATCGTTTTGTATATAATTGGGAACACATCAAATTTTTAAATCAATTTTAGAGTACAAATCTAACAGCCTTATAATATTGGTAAACAATAATCATAAGTGGATGTGTTATGATAAGGTATTGTAAACTTAATCAACAGTCTGATTGTTCTCTAATTTTGGTGAGTAGAAGAGAGACTCTTAGATCAGGAAGAAGATTTGTTTAAAGAGGATGTGATTAAGATGGGAATTGCACTAATTTTGCAGAAACTGAATAAATATTAATACTAAATAGATAAGAATCTAAAGATATATATTCATTTGTTTAAACTAGAGGATCTATGCCATTTAATTGGTAATAATAACCAACATTGAAATGGGCACCTAAAGCAACAATTATTGGTGATAGATCATATAATTCTGAATTATGTAAAAAACATTTTGAAAAATGTGCAGAATCATATTAACAATTATAAATAATTCTAAATTTAATTGATAAAAAAGGTACTTAAAAAATGTTAGGAGAATATTTTACAAATATGATAAGTAGTGTTAAAACAGTAAAAACTAAATATGTTTGGTTTGATTTCCATCATGAATGTAGAAATATGAAATATGAAAATCTTTCTAAATTATTAAATGAAATTAAAGATGATCTTAAAAAATCAGGATATTTTCATGCTGAAATAGACAAAAATAATTAAAATATTTTATCTAATATATATTAATAATAATCAGGAGTTGTAAGAACAAATTGTATGGATTGTTTAGATAGAACTAATGTTGTTTAATCAGTTGTTAGTAGAAATTTCTTATTACATATTTTAAATTAAGCAAATATTATTCATACATTAACAGGTGAAGCCTTATAAGTATTACCTAATGATCTTGAATAAATATTTAGAGATCAATGGACTAAAAATGCAGATATAATGAGTGTTTTATATTCAGGAACTGGAGCATTAAAAACTGATTTTACTAGAACTGGCAAAAGAACCTTTTGGGGTTCATTATAAGATGGTAAAAATTCATTACATAGATATTACATTAATAATTTTGTTGATGCTCATAATTAAGTAAAATAATATTTATAAATATTAGAATTGTATTGATTTAGCATTAGGAAAATTGGATGCAGATAACATGAATTATAAGAAACCAAAATTTAATGGTGTCTTATAAATTGCTATTTTTGTAATAATTTATTATTAATTAATAGATCATTATTTTGATGTATATCATGACAAGTTTCTTACCTGGATTAATTCTAGATGAATAATCTACATATCATAATTCTTGTTTAATGAAATTATTTATTTTTGGAATAAGTATGTTCATTACAAGTAAGATTTTACTGAAAATCCATTATTTGTTTATATCCAAACCAATAAGAGATCAAAATTGATTATCTAATATATAAGCATATATCAATAAAATAATCATGCTTTGCAAGGCATATCTAATCTCTAATAATAGGCATTCAAAGATCCAACATAAGTGAATAAAATAGCAATTACTACACTAATATGCCAAATTTAATGACTTTAACCACAATTGTCAAATTTTCCTGGAATTTATTTTTCAGGAAATCTAATATTATAGATATACAATCCAGATCTAAATATAAATGAATATAATACAAATATGATATAGCCATAGCAGCATAATAAGGTAATTATGATTAAAAACTATATCCTTCTAAACAGCTATCACCTATTGCAAAATGAATAAGTGGAATAGCACTAGTAAATCCAAGTCCTGCAAATAATTTATTTTTTAAGGATCTCCATTCTGCAGTATAGAAAAAATCAAATAGACAAAAACTAAAGAGAATGATTGCAAAAAAGCCTTATAAACTGGCATATATGATTGCATATTTTAGATTGCATTAAAATCCATAAAATAATGGAGCAAATGTTGAACCTGAAACAAGAAAACATATACCAGCATAATCTAATCTAATGAGTATTTTATTGACATTTTCTGAAAGACAATAAAAAAGATGATAAGTAGTACTACAACCTAAACATATAATGGCAGAAACTAAAAATGCAATCAATGGCCATCTAGATATCATTTTATGTAATTTCTCTTCATCAATTGTTTATCTTCCTGTAAGATGTTAAAATTCTAAATATAAATCGATCCAATCAAAATCTTTGGATTCAACAATTTCAGTGGCTTTCTATTTATAATCTTAAATGATTTCTGAAATATTATAATTCCATTTCAAAGTTTCCCAATCAAAGGCTTCAGCAATATTTTTTTGGATTTTTGAAAATTCATAATCATATTGATGTGCCACTTCATTGAAAAACTTATTAACATTATCAATCTTTTCATGTAATTGTTATTACATCAATTAAACATCATCTTAAAGATTGTGTAGTCCATTTTCTAATTATTCTTAGATCTATAATTCTAGTGTGAAAGCATGTTCATAAATGTTGTGTAATGATTCTACATAAATGGTAGTTTCATGTACCATTAAATGACTATATTGCTCTATGACGAAACAGTTCATCATAATTTAACCATAGGTAAAATATTAGTGAGACAATTATGATAGCACCTATTAGATGTGTCCAAATATTGACCAATTCATTATGCCACATGAATAAACTCTTAACAACGTCCTTTTTGTTTTTGAAGTTAATTCTGTAACCATGTTTAATATATTGATCTTTTACGTAACCAGGAGCTTTACAAATAGGACCACTATTTTTAAAGTTAAAATTCATACATAATTCTTTCATGGATGATATTCTCTTTAGTATCCTTTGTTTCTTGTTTGTTTTCTGCAGGAACTCTTTGTGTTATATTGCTATGACTCATTATAATTTATTAGATGTTATTTTATAAACTATCGTCATTGATAAATTAATGAGAATATTTGAGAAATTCTTATATATAATTTAGAATTGCTCAATATTCATTATTTGAAAAGCCAGCTTAATTAATATCTTTCATTATAAAAAAAATGATGTTTTTAATATGTATTTTATATTAAAAAAATGTACAAATTGTGGGAGAACTATGACGTAATCGTAAATAATATTTAATCAAAACTATTTAAGTAAATGAATTATTAATATACATATGGAAAAACAATTATTAGCTTTGCTCACTGTAACATTGTTAACATCAGCAGCTTATTTCATGAATGGCAAAAATGAAAATCTCACACTTGAAGGATAATTCTAATCATGGAAATAATAAAATGGAAAAAGATATTCAAATTATGAAGAAATTCATAGATTCTCAGTGTTTGCTTAAAATTTAGCCTTAGTTATGGAACACAATTCAAGATTTGAACTTGGACAAGAAACTTTTACTTTAGGAATGAATTAATTTGCAGACCTTACATCTGAAGAATTCTAAGCTTCATTCTTGACTCTTAAACCATAAATTTCAGAAAAATAGAATATCAAGAAATTCTCTGGATTGAAATTCCCAGATACAGTTGATTGGAAGGAAGGTTTGACAGTTAAGAATTAAGGTAATTGTGGTTCATGTTGGGCATTCTCTGCTGCTGCTGCTATTGAAGCTGGTCTCCATCATTAAAAGAAAGAAAAAATTAATATTTCTGAATAAGAATTTGTTGATTGCACTACAGCCAAACTTGGATATGAAAGTGAAGGATGTAATGGTGGTTGGATGGATGATGCTTTTGATTACACTGTTAACTATGGTGTTGCTACAGAAGAAGAATATCCATATAAGGGAGTTGATTAAACTTGTTAAACTGGATTGAAAAAGAAATATTATATTGATTCATTTGTTGATGTTGAACCATTAAACTCAGATGCACTTCATGAGGCAATTGCAAAGACTCCAGTCTCGTAATATATTTAATTCTATTTATAGTGTTGCTATCAAAGCTGATGGAATCATGTTCCAACTCTATAGTGGTGGTATCTATTCAAGAACATGCACAGCCAAAAAAATTGATGATTTGAACCATGGTGTATTGGCTGTTGGTTATGCTAAAGATTCTTATACTATCAAGAATTCTTGGGGAGCAGGATGGGGAGAAAAGGGATATATGAGATTGGCTATTATTGCTGCCAAAGAAGGATAATGTGGTATCCATTGGGTTCCATCATATCCAGTCTTTTGATATAATTTATAAAATAAAAATAATAAACTCAACAAATTTTAGTTTAATTTTATATTCAAATAGTTAGAAATTATGAAAATCTTAAAAAAAATAGAAAATGACTTTTTAATTATCACTTATGAATAATAACACATAAGAACTTAGATCCAATTATTGATTTCATAATCTACAGAAAATTAATATATTATATGATACAAATTCATAAATTGTATTTATTATCTCATTATTATCATAATTAATTCAGAATAATTATATCAATTAAGAATATCTGTAGAAATTAAAGCTAAATTGTATAATCTTTTTTTGTTTCAAAATTGGTTAATATATTAATTTATTTTTAAAAACCTAATCAATTATAATAATTTGAATAATTAATTTAGATGTGTTTTTATGATGTAGTACTCTTTTGAATTATAGATGATTTAATTAATTATTATAATAATTAAGTTATGTGAATATAAATATTGAAATTGATCTAAATTAAAGAGTATTCAAAATTTAGGCATTGATATTTTTATTTTTGTAACAATTCCATCCATATCTCTTTTAAATATACCTGGTTTGATGTCTCTACTTTCTTTACCAATAGAAAAGCATGGCTTAGTAATATAATTTGATTTAATTTATACTCCAATTGATCCCCTTATTCTTTAGTAATATAGAATACTTAGTATAATATGTTTGATTTTTCTCAACAGATTTGATTGGTCTCATCTTTTCTCCTTTTGTGAATCCAATACTAGGATAGCTTTCATGGGTTATATCCAATGATTTGTTTATATCATAAGCTCCTGGACCAATTAAATCAGGTGTTGAACCTTGAAATGATTTAGAAATAGGTCTTTTTGGAACTACTGTATATTAAGGACCTGTTTTTTTAATGAGATTATCATATTGATCAGGACCAGGTACTTAATTTTTATAATCTGTTTTGAAACGTTAGGCAAGACCAATTTTTACAATAGTTGAATTCATTTTTCTAAAATCATTAGCTTTATGTGGTTCAAACTAAAAAGTATTAAATGAAAATAAATACATCTGTATCTTGCCTTGTATAATAATCATACTATGTCTAATTAAGTAAATTTCTTTTTGCTGTTCCTATTTTGACAGTTGCATTTTTAGATAATAACTCACTTATATAATTAGAAGAATTATAACAGGGTCCTGGACTACTTTTACCTTTTTGAAGCAATTTTTTATCTCGATAAATGGATTATGCTTAATATCTGGTGGATGATCCAAAACCATAAGCTGGTTAAGTCTATTTCATTGATTCTAACACTAGAAATAGATAATTTAATAGATTTACTTTTTCCCATAGATGAATAACGCTTGTGATTTTCAAATTCAATAAGATCATTTGGAGTGTATAATTTAGAATTACTCATGATTAAAAAATTAACATTTATAATTGAAGAGAATAATAAATATTGTGAATGATTTATCCAGGATTATCTGTTGTTGATTATCAATTATAATAATATGAATGTATAATGATATTACATATTTATGATAGAATATCCATTATATTAGAATGCTTATGATTTTAATATATATCCTCAATATCATTACACTCCATCAATCAAGAATTATGAATCTGAATAAAAGGAAGAATTTAATAAGAAGAACAAGAATAGAAAGATTAAGTAAATATAATATAGATAAGAAAAATTAGAAATAATTAGCCAAAGGAATTATTACCAAAAATTAAAGAATAGATTGAAGAACCTATAGAATAGAATGAGGAGATGTATATAATTTATTATCATTTTATTAGTCTTTAATAAATAATACAACCATAATATTAAATTGTTGATATTTAATAAGGAGCTCTTCTTCCTAAATTGTAATCTCATTTAGCAACAGAGGGACATATAATTAACTCAAAATAAATTATTAAATCAACCAAAATAACTAAAAAATAAAAAAAAGAGAATGTTAATACAGGACATTGGTCTACCTTTGAACATACAACTTATGTTAATTTCTTATCACAATATGAAAATATTATGAACTCATCTATGATGAAAAAGACTTCAAAAATATTTAAATAAATGAGTGAATTAATAGGTACTCGTACGCCCAGTCAATGCAGAAGTCATCATTAGAAATTTAATCCTTATGCATTAAGGGGAGATAATGGAAAAAGATTACCAAGATCTCAAAGAAGTAGAGCAGGCAGAAAGAAGAAAATACTATTCAATAACCTTCTTTAAACAAGTATATATACTATCTAATTATTATAGATCAATTAATAGATAATGATTTACATGGTTATATGTATGAAAAATAAAATTACTATAATCCATTCATAATTGATTATTAATTTAATGAACATGAAATTTTTATTAAGAATTAAAATTAATTAATTCAAACTTAAATTTAATATGAAGATTATTTAAAATTTCGATAGGATTATCATAATTATTTAGAATATTGAATTGTATATGCATATATCTATATTATTATTATTATTACCTATTTAAATAAAATCATATTTATTCAGATAAAAGTAGATCAAAATTATTATAATTAAGTAAATCAAAATATCAAATTTTTAATCTTATTTATGAAACCTTTAAGAATATTGGTATTATATTTATTAAGAAATTATTATTATTATTTATAATATTATTAAATATTATAAAGAATCAACTATTCTATGTAAAATAAACACTTTATGAGATACATTTAAACTAATTATCTATAAATTCAAATTTAAATAACATAAATTTTAATAATTAATTTAAATATTGATGTAATAAAAAGTCAAGTATCATTCTTGAATTTACTATGGAATAATATATCTATAAAATATAATATAATCTACAATATTTGATGCTTTAAATAATAATTCTATAAGAATAATTATATAAATATATAAATCATCAAATTTGTGTAAAAAATATCTTAATATAAATGAAATTCGTATTTTATTTGTGTTTAATTTTAGTAGTATGCAAAGGAGGTAAAGTTAATAAGAAAGCAAATGTTTTAATTGATGATATAGTTAAGAGCATGAGTTTAGCAGAAAAAATAGGCTAAACAACTCAAGTTGATTTTATATATTTGAATGATGCTTAAGGAAAAACTTAATATGAAAAGATCAAGGAATGGAATCTTGGATCTTTGTTAGTGGGAGGAAATGGATGTCCTGATAATGATGGTAATATTTCTTCATCAGGAACTTGTATGAATGCCAACAATTAATTATGGAAAAAAGTTGCAGACCTAGCATTAGCTTAAGGAATTTCTGTTTAAGTAGATATAAGTGAAGAAGAATAAGAAACAGTGATCATAAAACCATTACTTGGTACAGATGCTATACGTGGTAATCAACATTCTGTTGGAGAAATACTATTTCCACATAATATTGGTTTGGCAGCATCAAACAATGTTGAAAACTTTAGAAATTCAGCAAAATGGATGAGAGATAGTGTGATTGAGACTGGATTTAATTTTGTATTTACACCAACAGTTGCTGTATCACATAATCCATAATGGGGTAGATTCTATGAAACTTTGGGAGAAAATACAGAAAAAGTATAATAATATTCCAAAGCATTCATTGAAGAAGCCTAAAATATTCAAAATGACAAAATACTAGGAGTTCTAACTTCAGTAAAACATTTTATAGGGGATGGAGCTACTATAAATGGATATGAAGAAGGAGATTCTATTGTAGATGAACAATTTATGGATGTCTTTATCGAAGATAATATAAAAGGATATAAAGGAGCTGTTGAAGCATAGACAGGTAATGTAATGGTCAGTTATGATGCAATTAATGGTGTGGCTATGAGTGTACATCCATTTGTTAATTCAATATTGAAAGCATCAATAGAGGATGGAGGTTTAGGATTTGAAGGATTTGTTATTAGTGATTATAATTCAGTTATCAAGACAGCTTTAATTGATTTACCAAGATAGTCTTAAAAAATGCCATTGGATAAGGCATATGCTGATTCATTTAATGTAGGAGTTGATATGTAAATGATTTCTGATAAGGTTGAAGATTATTAAGAAATGATTACTTTATTAGTGAATGAAACTGATCCATAAAAACCAAATATAAATATGACAAGGTTAGATGATGCAGTTAAGAGAATATTAACAATCAAAGATAAAATGGGATTAATTTAATATAGTGAGACTATTATGAAGAAGTATGATTTATAAGAAAAGAAGAAAATTGAAATAGTCAAGGATAAAGAATAAGAATATCAAGATGCTTTATAAGCAGCTCTTTAATCATTAGTTTTATTGAAAAATCAAGTAAATACACTTCCTATTAACAAAAATTCAATTGAACATGTTATTTTATTAGGTGATAGATATATCCCAGTTGGAAATGGATAATTTAAATTATTTTAAGATTATGATAATATTGGTGCTTAAAATGGTGGGTGGACAATTAGATGGTAAGGTTATAATGGTAATGATTATTGGACTGGAGATTTGAAGATTTAATCAAAAGCTTCATCAATCTTAGATGCTATTAAAGAAAGATTCTAAGAAGCCTAAATTTATTATCCAAAATATTCCAATCCTACTAATTTAGATGCTATACTTTAAGATAGAAATACCTTTAGAAACTAATTAATTGCAAATTAAGATTAATTCTCATAAGCAAATACTATAGTCATTCATGTATTAGCAGAAAATCCATATGCTGAATATATGGGTGATGTTAATTGTTAATATTGTTAAACTAAAGATAAAATAGGTTGTTTATACAATAATCATGATAATGTTTATCTAACAGAATCATAAGCTACAAGATTAGAAATCAAAACAGGAGCATATGAAAAATAAGTATTAATATATATAAAATACTTAGTTAATTAACAATGTCCTTAAAGGTTTAAGTAAAGTTGTTACTGTCTTAATCAGTGGCAGACCAATGTTAATAGATGATCCATTATCTATTAGTAATGCTTTTATAGCAGCATGGCTACCAGGAACAAGTGGTGGTGAGGCCATAGTAAAGTCTATTTTTGGTGAATATGGATTTGGAGGACCAGATAAACTATTTAATAAATTACCATCTCCTTGGATTTCTACTTTAGATTCAATTAAAGATTATCCAAAATATGATTCTGATACTGTACCTAAAATTGAAGATCCAAAATTTGAAACTGAATTTGGACTAGAAACAGATATAATCAATTATCCAATTCTAGAATGAAAAACATAATATATATATATTAATTATTCATTAGTATATTTAATATAATTCAATATATGTAATTGTTAATGATTTTGAAAAGAATGTGTTCTTGTAAGATATTGAAGTGATCATTATATTCAATTTGCATTATTATATTTTTTTAATTCTATCATATTATAAAAAACTTTGAGATTTAGATTTGCAAAAATATTTTTTACAATGAATATATAAAACTTTTAGGAGTTCTTTCCTAATGATTATATTCATCTTCTCTTAGCAGCTTTTAGTGCAGAAGAAACAGGAACTAAAGGGGGATAATGTCCTTTAAAAATATCAGATGATGTAAAGTTTAAATAAGAAACTGAAATCTATAAATTTATGAAATAAGAGAAAGAAGTAGATATGAATGAACATTTAAAATTTTGGAAAATATCTGAGATTTTTGATAATTCAAAATCTGGATATTTAGGTTTATTATTAGAAAATAAAGAAAAAAGATAATTAGTATTATCACATAGATCAACTAATTTCAAATTATCTTTCTGTAGCAATCTGTTCAAATAATCAGGTGTTTAATGTGATATTATGTCAGTTGTTATAGGTGTTTTTTCAACTCATTAAGCATAAGCATATTAGGCTACTTAATAAGCAGTATAGAAGGCTAGAGATTTGAAATATTCTCTATCATTTTGTGGTCATTCTTTAGGAGCATGGTTAGCAGAATTAAGTGTTTATTATTGTCACTAATTATTTAATCCACCTTTTCCAAATGTAAAAGCAGTGACCTTTGATGGACCAGGCAGTTTTGAAATGATGTAGTAAATGGATTAGCAAACTATAAAAGGATAAAGCTAGTTATTTTATCCAGAATAATTTGATATAGTATTTTATTTATCTGCCCCAAATATGGTTAATTGTATGAATTCTCATATTGGGATTGGGTATAGATTATAATAAGAAAATTTTGCTTCAATTTAACTTCCTAAGTGTATTAACAAAGTTACTGGAATGCTTTAGACATATGTAGATTCTCTGGAGACAATGATAGGACATTAACTTAAATGTATTATACCAATGTTTGATCACCAAACTGGAAAACCGAAACTGGAGCATTACTCAAGAATTATAAAATGGCCATCAATAAAATATAAAAACTACTCATAATAAAGTAAAATACATTTGGATACAATACTTTTGATGATATATCCAATTGGTCTAAAGATATTGTTGGTAAAAATAATGACGAAATATTTTGTTAATATGTCTAATTATGTAACATCTTGTTCAGTTTTCGTTGGATTAATAGAATATTTTCGCGGAAATATTAATTTTGATCAATTTAATAAAATTCATGAAATTTTAAATAAAACAAATTAATATTAACCTAAAGTAAAAAATTAGGAAGAATTTGATTTATAAATAAAGGGCGGCTATTATATGAATAATCCAAATGAATATGAAAGGAACACGTGCAATCCTAAATTAATTGATCATATTGATGAACATCTTATTAATATAAAGATAAATACTTAAAGGATTGATAATTCATCATGTAAAAGAATATTTAAATAAATTTTAATTTAGATTTCAAATACTTATGAATATAAGAAGAGAGGTTTTTAATCATGCATTACAATTAAGCAATAATTTAGAGATTAAATAAATATTAATATTTTATTAATATTTTAAGAGATCAAATAAGAATGATAATAAGAGATTATTAGGAAGATTTTGAACAATTTTTGAATGAAAATCCATACTTTGATAATAAAAAAATTACCTGTTTTTTCAATAGGTTATTTTTATATGATGAAAATTATGTTTAGAGAAAAGAATTAGAATAGATTGAAAAAGCATTCTCTTAATCAAATGTTGTTGTCATAACTGGACCTTCACAATTTGGAAAAACTACATTAGCTTATTAATATGTAAAAAAACTTAAAGACGAAATCAATGCCATAGTATTACCATTTAATGCTGAAAATAATTCAACATTGTATTCGGATCTTCAATATTATCATCATCATTTATATCAAATACCCAATTAAACCTTTACATTTGAATATTTATAGTAAGATTTATTGGCTAAAATTTAAAATACCAATTAATAATTAATTATCATATTTGATAATGTCAAAAGTCTTGATATAATTTAAACCTTAATCACTAATCTAAAATAATTACATAGAATAATAATAACAACAGTTAATAATCAAATATTTTCTTAAACTAATTATTAATTGTTAAATATTTCAGCATTGACTGAATAAGAATGTCTCAATTATATTAATAATTCTATTCATAAGAGAAAATTGAATGATGAATAAAAGAAGATGCTAATACAATCTTCTAATAGCATTCCTAAGCTTCTTCATATTTATATAGCTTAATTAAACAATCCAGATAATGTGCTTGAATAAACTGAAATAATATTGAAAAATTTAAATTAATCAAATAAATACAGCAGTCTAATAGAGTAAATATAAGATGATTTTTGTATAAAAATACTGAAATATATCTCATGGTTATATCCAAATAAAATTGAAATGCATTTAATATAATAATTACTATAAACTACTGAATCAAATAAAGAAAATACAATATAAAAAGGTTTAATAAAACTTTCAAAATTAGGATTTATTAGTATATTAGGAAATTAATGTATTATGATAGATACTGTTATCTAAGAGGAATGTAGAAGACTACAATAATCTTAAGAATATTTATTAGAAATCTTAAAATAGTTTTACGAATGGTTACCTGATATTTAAACTGAAAAACATACTATAAATGCATAGGAAATAGCATAATATTATTATATACATGTAAAAGAAGTAATAACTCTTATAGAATAAAAACATCTATTTAAATATTTTTTAAATAACAATTTTGATCTATTTGAATATGCAACTATGATTACTTTAAAATTAAGTATTGTTTATCAGTTTTTAATTCATGATTATTAGTCTAGCTAAAAATATTTAGACCTTTTTGGCGAACAATATTATCAAGCTATGAAAACTATGAATTCCATTAATCTTTAAGCACTCACTATTGCTATAATCAACAATACTTAATTATATTTAACTATGAATAAAAAGTAAGAAGCACTTACAAATTCTGTTTTATTTTAAATTATTGAAACAGAAATATTTGAGATCTCACCTTTTCTTAAATCAAATATGTATAATTAACTAGCAATTTTATATTAGTAATATTAATAGTATGATCTATCTAATTAACAATTAGAGAAATCAAAGAAGATAAAATGTCTAAATTAAAGTGAAGATGATCTTAGAATTCAAAAAATACTAATGATATAAGCAGAGAACTTTTTACTTTAAAAATATTATAATTAAGCATAAATCCTATATAAAAAAGCTTTATAGCATTTGTAATTAATTGAAAATAATAATACTCTAAGAGAAGTTTAGTTAATTAAAGCTTAATTATATTATTAATTCGGTAGAATATCTTTTAAATTAAAACAAGATTCTTAAGAAACTTAAAAATATTTTGATGTAGCTGTTAAAATTTGGTAAGAGAAACTTAATAACATAGAATCCATTGAAATGGCTAATTTCTAATACAATATTGGATTAGTCTTCAAATAAATGAAAAGATATGATGAATCTCTTAACGCACTAGAAAATGCAGATTAATAAAAAAAGAAAATTATAGGAGAAGAAAAAAATGAATAATTTGCAGTAATATCTTATTAAAAAGGATTGATAATGATAGAAATGAAAAAAATAGATTAAGCAGAACAAGAGTTAATTAAAGCATAAAATATTATGTAAATATCAAATAATTTTAAATTAAAATCTAAAATTGATTTATAATTAGCACTAATAAATGAATAAAAAGGCTTAAAGTTTGAGTTTATCAAAGCCTTAGAAGAATTGATAAGCAAAAAGAGAAATCATTATGCATATATTCATCCTTCAATAAATAATGATATATTGAGTTTAGCTGATGCTTATGAGAAAATACTTAAAGATACTGCAAAATAAACAGTACTTTATTAATTAATTTACTTCATAACTATTTTGCATGAAAGTTAAATTTAATGTTATCAACAAAAAAATCCAATTACTGATTAAATAGAGTAAGCCAAATTTTAAGCTAATTATAAATAAATTAATGCAAATTGGCTTAGAAAAAACAATTCATAAAATATTATAAAAAGGTTTTAACCAAATTTCTTTGAATTGGATTTATAAAGAACTTTGATATTAAGAAGTGGAATAATAACTAAAGAGGAATTTGAAATTAAATAAATTCTTCAAACATCAACTCTAAATTATATAAGATAATATACCTTTGAAGGAAAATGGGAAAGAAGTATATTATCTGGGTTTACACTATAAGGTGTCTAAAATTTTATAAACAGAAAACATTTAAATAATTAACTTAGAGGAGAATTGAATAAAAATTAGAATTTAAAAATAACATTGATGCTTTGTTTTGAAGCAATCAATATTGGAATAGTACAATCAAATTTTGAATACATTTCATTTGCTAATCGTTTTATTACCAAAATAATTCGATATCAATAAATGTAAAATTTCTTAGAAGATGTTATTTAATTACATCCTGAATATTTTATTGATGGAAAAATTCTAAAGTCTTTAGTAAACGATAATACTATCTTACAAGAAAATTTAGGAAATGAAGAGAAAAAAATTAGTTCTAATAAAATTATAAGTGATATTATATTCAACATGTGTTGAGATTGGTTTTTTGAATTTATTTCAAAGCTACAAAATTAATTTTAAAATCCTAAATAATATCTCTTTATTATTTTTTTATGCTAAAATTTTTTCATTATATTTTTAAATATAGATAAATGAACAAATATTTTGAATTTATATAATTTTCTTGATAATATATTTTTATATTAAATATCAACCAACTTTAATTTTTTTTAAATATTGTAAAATTAAAATTAATTAATTTTTATAAGGCAAGTCGCAATACAAATTTAAATAAATATAATACTGAATTTGAGCTGAAATGCTTCAAAAATTGCTTTAAAATATTTTAGATATATTTTTATTCTGGATTACATCTAAGTTAAATCTATAATTAGACTTTTTTATAATATTAATCATTAAATTTTATATACAAAATTTTTGAATTATAATTATAGATACTTTTAAGTAGTATTAGAATGATTGCATATTTTATTTTTATATTATTATTTTATAGATAAACAAATGCTACTAAGAATACTTACAACAATACAAGTCTTGCTAATGCAAAATTTTGTTAAAGGTTAAAATCTTTTATCGATTTTTAGCTATGTTAGATGCCTCAAAAGATTCTACTAATGATGCTGTCGTAATTTTAGCAGTTTCTACTATTTTAGGAAAGGAAAACTCTATTCCTATAGGGTCTTTAATGGGGGGTACAACATTATATATGAAAGTAAAAATATCAAATAATATTTTAGGTTCTAGGATTAGATTAAACTGCTAGTAATAATGCAGTATATGTTGGGAAATACCCTTGTATAATATCAGACAAAGGCGTTAATGGTCTATTTGTAAATTGTAAAACAACAAAATCTAATCAAAATGACCATAACTTATTAAACTTAAAAATTATGGTCAAGGTCTAAGATAAACCAGACTCTATTTGTACATTCAGTTACACATACTGCCATTTTTCCTATACTCCATAAAATACACCAAAATTATTTTATGTGACTCCAAGATCTAATTACCCTAGGATGTTTAGTTATTGGAGGGCTAAATGGGTTATATCTAGTAATGCAGTAGAGTACTTAGAAGGATAATTTATGGGTTCAAATAGATGTGACAGATTCTCCATTTAAGATCTGTATCCGAAGTAAATAAATTACTAGGATGATAAAGTAGTATGTTAGGTTTCAGCTGAGATCCAAGCAGGTTACTATGATTATACAATAAAATCATAGAATGGATATTAGATTAATTCATTTGGGTTAAAATAGAAAAAAGTATATTCTGACAGGATGTATAACTCAAAGTATTTATATAAAATATTAAAGAGTTGTTCCCATAATAACAGGACTTAATACTAATTTCGCATCACCTGAAGGACAAATTTTAGAGATTTTTGGATTTGGATTCAGTCCCTTTGCTCATTAAAATAGAGTTAAGATTTCAGGTTAATCTGAAAGTATAGAAGTCATAACTTCTACTCCAACAAGTATAAAAGTTAAGATACCTAAAATATAAAAATAATTAGAAAACTCTATATATATTTAAGGAAGTGGATTACATTATACAAGATGGAATATATCAGGTTTAAATTATAATTGTGGATCCTTTAGATAATAGATTATTACTAATATGGCTTAATTAGATGAAAGAATTAAATTTGATGGGATATATCCTGAACCTGATGTTCAAAGTACATTTGGAGAATAATATGGATAATATTTTCGAGGTTTTTTAAAAGCCCCTTTTACAGGTGTTTATAGATTCTATATATCATCAGATAATTGTGCATAATTTTATATCTAAAAAACAGAAATTTTTAAACCAATTAGACCTGATAATCCAATAGCAGCTAGTAATTGGAATCCTTATAGAAATTATTGGTTTGAATCTTTAAGTTATACTTCTGCCATTAAATCAATATCATAACCTATTACTTTAGAAGCAGATAACTTTTATTACATTGAAGTTTATCATATTAATGAAATATCAGAAGGTCATTTGACATTATCGATGGAAATAGAAAGTGAGACTATAAAATCTAATTCATTAAATAGTATTTATTAAATATAAACTACTTATACACCAATTAAAGAAGTGATAGAATTCACTCTTTATAATTAAAATGAAAATACATTATTAAAAGGTAATTACAGACTTAGATTCACTTATGGAATCTAGAAAACTCCACAAATAGATACTTTTTATATCTATACTAGTAGTGAATTAACTGCTAGTTCAAGTGCTAATGCAATGAAAAATGCAATATAAAGTAGTGGTGCACCTTATTATATTACTGTAATAAGCACAAAATTGGATTATAATGGAAATACATTAGATGATTCTGTAATATCTTTTGCTGGATATAAATATACAATAACTTTTGATTCTCATAGAGGATCTTAAATGTATAGAGCACTTCCAAAGATTGTTTAATAAACACTTAATGGAGGTATTATTGGTTCAACAGTTGAATGTATTTAAGAACCAGCTGATCCAATTAGTGGATCATTTCAATTATCAATGATAATTAATGGATAAGAAACTTTATTTTAAGTAACAGATAATGACTATGATTTGAAATTTGATGTATCAACAACAATAATAGCAAATAATATTGAAAAATTAACAGGTTAATCCCCTTTTGTTTGGACAGTTGGATAACCATAAGATGGATAGAAATGGTTTATTGTATTTAGAACTCATTTTGAAGGTCTTTATGATTTTAGAGTATCAAATAATTTATTAGTATCTGGTAATATAATAGAAAATGAATTCATTTTAGCTGGATGTTAAAAGTAATCAATTTGTGATTTAACCTTGGGTGATCAAAAAACACCAACTTTATAATCATATTCAATAAGTGGATCTCTCTTATCTTTATCATTATAAGAAGGAGTTGATTTAACAATAACAACAATTAATATAGATATTGAATATGCAGGAGCAGATTGTACTAATATTTAAATAATTAATTATGCATCTCCATACACTATAATTTGTAATTTAGAATAATTAAATGGATTAAATATTAAAGAAGCAGGAGAAAAGTAAATACCAATTATTCATCATAAAGATATTGGTTTTTCTAAAATAGATTAAAGTATAATAGGTGAAAATGTTGATCTTTAAATATCTTCAATTTAACCTAATTCTGCTTCTTCAGATGGAGGTACGACAATCACAATTAATGGTATGGGCTTCCCTAAAAATTTAAATAGAGATTTTATATTTTAAATTGATAATTAAAATATTAAACCATTATCAATTTCAAATACTTAATTAATATTTATAGCTCCAAAATAACTAAGTGGAGGAATTGGATCCATATCACTTTAATTTAATTCAAAAATAGCTACAAGTTTATTTACTTATGATGAATCATTAAGAATTCAAGTAACAAGTTTATAATTTTATTAAAAATCACCATTATTTAAAGGTGATATGACAATTACTGGAGTCAATTTTGGTAATATCATAGAAGATATTAAAGTTACATTAATTGGAAATAAATCTTATAATGTAAAAGTATTATCAATTACTGATACATAAATTAAAGTCTATTTAAGAGGAGGAATGCCTGGTAATTATAGAATTATTGTTACAAGAAAGAATTATGGTGATTCATATGCAAATAATGATGATAATTTATTTTAATATATAATACCAATTAATAGTGTAACTTTAGAAGATGGAACTAGTTAAGCAAAAGGTTCTGAAGCAGGAGGTACAGTTATTAAGATTACTGGATCAAATTTTGTATAAGGAGAAACTCTTGTATTTATTGGTAAGGCTGTTAATTGGATATGTGAAATAGATGAAACTAGATTTACAAGTGAAATAATCTATTGCACAGTTCCAAATTTTATACTTAAGAACCATAATTAGTAATAGTTACATTATAAATAACACTTGAATCAACTTGTTTAGATAGTACTAATAATTGTTAATTTACATATGATAATGAATTAAGTTGTATTTAAAGGTCCTATAACATAAACAGCAACAACTAATTTAATTGATAATACTTTTACTTATACAATTCCAAATCTACCTTAAGGATATTATACTACTTACATATTAACTGAAAATGGCTATGCTGATAAAATATGGATTAGTATAATAGAATTAAGTATTACAACAATTGACAATGCTGCTATAGGAGGATAAATATTAACAATAAATGGTATAGATTTTAATGTTAATCAACATCCAAATGTAAAAATTGGATCAACAATATGTACTGAATTATAAGTAATATCGAGTGTATAAATTAAATGTAGAATGACAAGATAATCAGGAACTTCAGCAATTGTAACTTTAACTTAATTACCTTCTGAGAATAATTCAGCTACTCCTTATACTGTTGAATTTACTTTATCTATTAAATCATAATAAAATTCTCCTGTTATCACATCTATAAATGGTGTTGTTTACAATATTAATAAAAAAGCTAATGTAGTTTAGACTGGTAATGTAGTACTTGTATTCAGTGGAAGTATGTTAAATGGTAGTAGTGTTTTAGTAATATTGGAATACATGAGTAATAAAATTAGCGGAGTAGTATCAGAACTATCAGATACAGCAGTAACTTCAACATTTACAGATATACCAGCAGGAGTTTATTCAATTAATATTTTAATAGATAATAATTATGCGTATTTTATTGATTTAACATAATAAACACTTATAGTAAATACAGATATTCCTATTTCAAATAATCCAACTATTTCTTATGTAGGTGGAGCTATAATTACATTTACTGGTAAAGGATTTGATTAAAATACTCATTTCACTTCTGTATTATTATGTGGATTCAATTGTCCAATTACTTAAGCATCATATACTACTCTTTCATGTGAAACTCCTAAATTATTAACAAAATCAGTTTTTAATCAATACTCACCACTCCAAGAACCTCCTAGATACATAAAACCATCTGAAGTATTATTACTAACTGATTGATAGTGGATCTTCTATTTCCACATTTTTTGATCTATAATAATCAACATATTATAGTTCTTCTAGTGCATCTAATTGTTTCATAGAAGTTGACTTTGGTAAGAGTAGAGTATTAAAACTACATTAATTAAGATATCTTCCAAGAATAGACATCTAGGCAATCATCTTAAAAGGTGCTGTATTCCAATATACAACAGATAGTATACTTTGGTAAACTATATTAACAGTGGATTAAACTGTTCATACAGGTTGGAATATTTATGTTCCTGCTGTTGATATTTCAGATATTAAAGCAATTAGATTATTTGACTCATAAGGTGTAACTGGATCATCTTGTTAATTAGCAGAAATAGAATTGAAAGGATGGGTTTTATCAAATAGTAATAATGATTACATAATTCCAACACTATGTGATGCTGATATTATAATAAATGGATATGAAATAGATACAATATCTGGATCAGCCATATATTCTTCAAATAGTGTTCCAATTGTAAATACTGTTGATCCTTAATCTGGAAGATTTAGTGAAGAAGCAGTCATAACAATATCTGGTACAGGATTTATAAATGGTTAAACTACAGTTTCTATTGATGGAGTTAGTTGTAATATTTAAAGTGTTTCTGAGACTTAAATTATAGGCTAAACTGGTATCAAAGATTTAGATTTCACTTAATTAAATGGTATATTTTAAGTTAGAGTTAATGGAAACTTGGCTGTCAATAATTAATAATTTATATATGCTACAAAATGGTCAGATATTAATACTTGGGGAGGATATGAATATCCTGGAGATGGAGATTCAGTTATTGTTAATGCAGGATAAACATTAATTGTAGATGTTTAAACACCTAAATTAATGTAAGTTTTAGTAGAAGGCACATTGACATTCTCTGATGATTTAGATACATCAATGGATGCACATTACATTATTATAAGAGAAGGAAAATTCAATATAGGTACTGATTCTATAGCACATTAACATAAAGTATAAATTACTTTACATGGTAATGAAGAAGATGTATAAATGCCAGTAATGGGTAATAAAGTATTAGGATGTCACTAATGTCAATTAACTATTCACGGAAAAGAGAGAATACCAACATGGACATTATTATCTACTACAGTTTAAGCTGGAACTACTCAAATTAAAGTAGATGATTAAGTAGATTGGTAAATTGGATAATCAAGATTGTATAAATTTCCTTTTAATAATTCAAATTATTCTAAATTTTTCATCAGTATTAAAATGCTAAAGTTTATTTAATCATTCGTATAAATGAAATGATTTCATTTTTATAAATCAAAAAATTTAAAATAATAAATATTTACAATACATTTGAATGTCCTGGATTGATTAATTTTTTAATAGAAGATTAAACTGGACATTTCTTTGGAAAAGTTAGCCAAGCTATTGGTAACAATACATACATAGGTCCAAATGTCACTTATTGTACAAGATAGGAAGCATGGAATGGATATTGGTGTCTTGGTCGTTAAATAACTGCTATGGGTTTCATGAGTGTAGCCCCAGATTATAATAAAAGATTATATTCACCCATTAAATTAGATGATGGAAAGTTTTTTAATGAAATTAACAGTTAAATGGAATGGCATTGGTCAGGAGCAGAACCTAAAAATTTAAGAGAATCAAAATTTGTTGCTTTGATACCCTCAAATACTATTGTAAATATGAGTAATGCTGGAATGAATCCAACTGCATCAGAATATCAGTTATCTAAAAGATATTTATCAGGTCGTCCAGAAGATTATGTAATTTTGAAATGGCAATTTTAAGTACCTTAAGTTATTTAAGTCTCAGTTGGTACTAAAGTTATTTTGCCTGGAATGACTACTAAATCTTAACACCATAATCTAATGAATATGACAGATTAATGTGGAGCAAATAATTATTTCTATTAAAATAATACAATTCATTTTGTAATCAATGGTTAAATAGGATGTAAAGTTAAAATTACTTTAAAAAACACACTTTAGATATCAACAAGGCTTGAAATCACAACTGAACAATTCTTTGGAGATAAATTTTTAGAATATGCTAGGGCATAATTAGGAGGGGATCCCTTTAATTATTTTATTATTGGTATAAAAAAATCTTCTAGGAGATTTTTGGATGAAACAATAAGCCACTAAGTAACTGTATATTGGACAATAGTAGACAATGTTGAAATCGGATCCACTGATTCTAACTATTCATATCAATATTTAGAAGACTTTGCAACTAAATTAGAATTCTTTAACCCTCCTCCTTATATTGGTACAGTTTTAGAATAATCAACTACCATCAACATTTTGAGCAATTTAAAATTCCCATCTACCGAACCTACATCATGTATTTTTATCTAATTTTATTATTTAGAAATTTAATAAACACCAGAAGCTACAAATACCAATCCTGGAAATACTGATTTCAATAAAAATAATGAAAATAATTAAGGATCAATTAATGATAATTAGCATAATGATAAGGAAATTGCATTAACTCAAGATGAACCAATTTATTAATAAAAAAATAATGAGAACAATTATAACAACATAACAGGAACCATTAAAAAATCCATTAAATAAACTGAAACTTCATCTAACACAGTTGAAATTGTAGTCTCAGTAATTTGTTCTGTAGTTGGAGTCTCTATAATTATTGCTGCTTTGATATATTACAAGAAGATTAAATTAGCTAAATTAATTGCAAATAGAAATTAAAAAGTGGATAATGAATTCTTCAAAGTAAACCTCACTGAATAGCAACTATAGCTCTAAAATCATCAGTAACAAATGGATTGATAATTTAAAATAAAATATTTAGAATATTTTTTAAATTTATTCTCCTACTTTTTACTGAAAACTAAATAATAGATGTTTTTCGATATCTTAAATTAATTTCTATGAGGATATGAAATGATAATTTAAGAATAGAATAAAAAATATTATAACTATTAGGATGATAATAACTTGATATCAATTAAAACTTTTTTATAAATTTAAGAATTAATTATTTTGTTAACTCATTTTTCAAAAATGAATGCATTATTTATAATGTTATTTCAACATAAATAAATTGATAAATATATAAAAAACATAAATGATATATGAAAATTTATAAGTGAAAATAAATACTTACATATTTATATAAATCAATAATAATCTATTTATAAATGTATAATAATACTAAGAAATATTTATA